TTATTCTTTTATTTTCTTTAAGAAATGTATTATTAAACGGTCTTTAAATACCTACCCCTCTTCTTTAATTACGCTACTTTTTTTATTTATCGAAATCGCTTTAACTCTTTTACTAGCCGTCGTATATGTAAAATGCCTGCTAAATTTTAATATAAGCGATTCGGTTATTATAGTTTTTAAATTTTCGAATATTTTTATAACGTTGAGGGTACTAAATTTAAAGGGCCCGCCACTTATTTATATAACACGTACGGTATTTTAAAGATTAAACGATAAGTTAAATCAAAATTACGAGATAGGAGATTTGGCCCGGGAGAGCGTTTTGCCGTTAATTTCTTCGAATATAAAATAGGGCAAAGTAGTTTTAAATATATTATATTTCTTACCTATTGATAGATTAAATTTATTTAGAATATTTATATAGCGAATCGAATAATGAAAGTTATTATTAAAAAATTCCTTTCGGTAATTAATACCATTAAATATTAGTATAATATTAAGGTTAAATATATCGAGTACGATAATAAATTTAATAATTAATACGTTAGGGATAAATTAGTTATACGTTTTATTATTTTCGAGCCTTTAGTACTTAATATTTAAATTTAAAACGGCGGTGTTGAGTGTTGAGGGGATATAATTAAAGAAAAAGTATGTATAATAATAAATAGTATTAAATTCCCGCATAACCTTTAATTTTAAATTGTTTTTATTTGTCTAAATATATATTTATATAATAATTATAGACCTATAATAGATTTACAGGTTTGTATTATACTATATAAGTATAATAAAAATATATTTGTACATTTTAAATCTTTGTATAAAATTATGAAATATATAACCGGAGAAAACCTCCGGCCAACAACAGGGATCAACCCTGGATAAAATCCGGAAGAAAATTCCAGAGTCCGAACTTCGAAGCTGAATTCCAGCCTCGACGTCAGTCGTACGAAGACATACGTAACACCATTGGAATGATCAGAAAATGATGATTCCAAAGGTACAAACGGTTTTGTCACTCATTGACTCATTGATCCAAAAAGTCTATTTGAAGAGGGCTTCCCTCGAGGAAAAGGAAAACCAATGTAGATTTTTTTACTCATCGATATCTCGACCAATCTACCCCCATTCCCCACATTCTACATACCATTCTGCTCTACTTTGAACGCTCCACACAGCCGTATTGACCATACCTTCGTACCATATCCACTCGTTGATCGATACCTTCCAACAGTTTTAGCTTCGGTCTACTTTATTAACCGATCGTCTAAGTATTTTTATAATTGGAAATTACTCTACGAACGGTTTTATACCTTCGTAGCTTACTGTAAGGGGGTATAAATTAAGCTCTGTAAATTTGATTTTAATTATTTATGTATTTATAGTTGTAAAGTATATGCGATAACGGGTATTATATAGAAAAAAGAGTAATGGCGTAAGAAGTTTTAATTAAAGGTTTAGATTGGATTCTTTATCGGCTATACTACTTCTTTTATTTATTAAATTTAGAACCTATAGATTAACTGTATCGTTTATACTCGTAATATACTCTTGAATAAAAGTTTAATCTATTTAAAGAACCTTAATAATTTTAAAGAAGGATTAAGGCTAATTAGCGGCGAGATTACCGATCTATTTAATTAAATTAATTAATTTCCTTAATTATTTACATGATATTTCGAACCCTTTAATACGACCTAAAATATAGAAAGTAATAGTTTTACTCTTCTCCTATTATTATTCTTTGATAACGAATTTTAAAAAGATAGTAACGAAACTATTTCGAAAATAATAAAATTTACTATTTAAAGTAAAATATTTATCAATTTTATATTTAATTACCCTACTTTATTAAATATACTATTAGCTACTCTTATCACCAGCTTTATAATAAATTTACTAGAGCCTATCTCCTTCCTGACCTTCGAATTATAGGAAATTACATTTAATTTTAGGAAATTTACTTAATTAATTAGGTAGTAGTAAAGTAAAATAATTACAAAGGTAGAAATTAACTACTTGATTTCCAAGGGTAGTAAATTAAACTCTATTAAATATTAAGACTTCCCTTTACTCCTAAAGATTTATTATGCTTTCGAATATTACAATTTGGGTAATTTCTTTAAATAAATAAAGGAACTATATTTTGATAATTATAAAGAGATGAGATTATAGGTTAAAATCGACGAAAACGTTCTTTATATTAAAGGTTTTCAAATTTTGGATTATATATAAATATATATATATAAATCTAATAAATATAGTTGGTTATTAAAAGTAAAAGTTCACTTTATAATTAGAGGAGACTAATAATATAATTATAGTAAGGAGACGTATACCTTTATATTAATTAGTCGTTTATTTCGGTTAATTATTACCTACGATACTAAATTCGATTTCGAACTTATTTAATACAATATAATAAACGCTTTCGTTAATGCCTACTTCGATAAGGAAATTTATATACGTATACTATTTAATTATTAAAAGTACCGCATTATCTTTAAAATTCTTAAAGCCTTTTATAATTTCCAACGAATTTTTTTACTATAGTAATAAGAATTTAATAGGATTTTCGAAAGCTTAGGGTTTAGATTATTATTCGAGGACGTATATATTTTTAAATATAATAGAATTTTAATTTTCTCTTCCGTTAACAATATCATTTTCGCCTTCAATAAATTATAATATAATAAAATTACCTAGGTTACGAAGAAATTAGAGGAGAAGTATAAATTTATTAATAGTAATAACCTTTAATAGTTTTTAAGCATCGAAATTATTCGAAACCGAAAAGTAAACTATATTTAATTATCCTAATAGAAATATATCTATAAAATTATTAACTTAATTAAAAATCCCTATATCTTCGCTTTTATTCAGATAAATAATAAAGAATTTATATTTCACAATACTGTAACCTCTTTCAATAAAATCTAAGAATATTAGGTTGTTATCGGCTTTATAATATACACTATTATAATTACCCAGCCTAATATCGCCTTCGCTACTAGCCAATTAATTTACTATAATTATAATCTTAGTCCTTAATATCGTAAGGTTATTAAAAAAAATTTATATTACCTTTAATACTACTATAATTTTTCGTTCTATTACAATAAATTAACGAACTTCGAAATTACCTCAAATACATTATACGCCAATAATTCTCTAAATTAAAAGAACTCGTATAAATTTACAATTAAACTCTTTAGTAGTTTAATTTATTAGGGTATAATTAAATAAAAGATAGTATTTACTTCAATAATAGAAGTAGAATTATTATCAATTTTAAATACTACTAAGGAAATTGTCGCTATTATACGTTTATATAAGGAGATTAATATTCACTTCAATAAGGATATACTCGTAATTAATTATAATAATATATAGACGATCCGTATATTAATTATTAAGGTAGCGAAATTAATAATTAAATTGAAGTATATTAATATTTATTATTCTTACTTAAAGTAGGAAATTATAGAGGGAAGGATTGAAGTTAAATATTTAAAGACGAAGAAAACATTAGCCGATAAATTAATAAAGGTTTTGGGATAATTAGATTATGAGAAATTCCGGGAATTGATAAGAATAACGAATATATTAGTTCGTAAGGAGATAGGAATGGATAAGGAGATTCCAGATAATATTCTAGAGGATATTTACAATTTAGTTAGAGAAATTGACGTACTAGAAGAGAAACTTTGTAAATAGCTTTACTTTTGCTTTGTTTAGAAGGTCTATAAGTAAGGGGGTGTGTTAGATTTAAGAGTGGTTTTAACTATACTATATGGAGGTTAGCGCTCTAGCCACTTGATATTGCCTAATTTCTGGGCATATCTAGGTTACCCTAGCACCCCCTATACCTTTTAGGTGAATCAATTATACACACTCTTCACTTAATTAATTTTGCACCGTTACATTTGATAATACTAGCCAATGGAGCTGTCAATTTACTGTAATGAGACGAGGGGAGGGAAACGAGGGAAACGAAAGAACCTGGCCGGAATAACTACCGAACGATAGGCGTTCCTGGCGCTCCTTGGTGATGTTTTAGTGTTGAAGTTGCTGAAAGAAGACGTGGGGTTATTTCTTTGTTGCCTCGGAGTTAACATCTCATTCGGTCGTGTGGCGCAACTGAAAGTGGAAGCACCAGACCTTGACCGATAGCAGTTACACCAAGTACCGGCACCGTTGGTGAAACTGACAGCCCGGTACAAAATGGGATTTGAATAACCATTCGGTGATGAGAGTGACGGGAGAGTGAGTGGTGAGAATTGTGTGCTGGTGGTTATAGCGGTCACTGCCCGCTGAAGCAGAGGGGTCGCTGTTGCTCTTTCCATTCCTTCGGGCAATTTTGCACCGTTTACCGCCCACACACAAGTCCATATTGGGTTAGCATGGGTGTGCAGCGCGGGATGGCCTTGGCCTCTGACTAATAGCACATTGGAAGACCCCGCCGGCCCCATCCCACTAGAGTCCAACCAGTCATCATGGCCGATGGCCGCTCCTCGCTTCTCTCAACTTTTCCAAGTTCCATTCTGTCTTCCAACGACCGACACGCACACACTTTCTTCACAGACACTCGGACCCTGACTGAACAGCAACACCACAGTCAACACCATCCATTCTCACCGCGAAACATTGTTTGTTGCTCTTTTAGAAAAGTCTGCTTTGGGTGGCATTTGTGTTTTCTTGCAATCAAAACTCTCTCCTCCCTCCACCTCCGTGCCCGTCACCGTCGTTGACCACCTTGCAAATTCCCTCCTCCTCCGACGGCCCCCTCCAGTTCCAACCCTGACCAACCTTGGAACCTACACCTGACCCAACGATAAACCCTACCGGCCAAATACACTATCACGCCGCTGACTCGCTGGAAACAACGGTCTCCGAGCATACTGCCGAATCATTCGACCGAAAAAGACAAAATCCACTTGTCTCGACCAGGAGTCGCGGTTCAGGGCTTCGTCCAAGGCGGAACCGGACCCCATCGAGTCCCATCCGACTCCAGTTATCCGGCCCTCGAGAGGCTCCAGTTCAAGAGGCTCCAGTGCCCCGCCCCCGTCGCATCAGCTCCAGCGCTCCCGGGCCCCCGTCGCTCCCCCTGCGCTGGCCTCTTCGTATCCCGTCGAACACAGTTAAACATTCACCATCCCGGCGCCGTTCTCTCCTCCCAAAATCTGCCTCTTTTTTCGACTACACACTACGACAACCAAGGAAGGTCAATTGACTGCATATTCCCGACACTATCCCAGCACTCGCCTGGCAAGGCGCGCCAGCGTTGTGACGTTCACACCATCTACAGTCTAGAAAGAGAAGGAAGAACTTGGCTATCAAGGGCGACCTGAAGAATACCACTCGACCGACAACACCACACAAACCATCATCAAAATGGCCGGCAGCCGCATCAACTTCACCAACTACCTGCGCAACCTGAATGCGCAGGAGCCGCAGGTCGAGGAGTTTGTGACCCCCAACGACGAGGACCTTGCCCTGTTCACCAACACCAACTTCTTCGACTACGAGACGGGCCAGAACACCGACTACCAGGCGCCACCTGTCAAGCCCGATGCTGTTGTCGCTCCTACTCCCGTCGAGTCTGCGGCGGCGTCTCCCGATGTGCAGACCGATGCCTTCATGACCGATTTCCTGTCGGGCCTCGACCAGGGCTTGGAATTTGCTGCTCCTGCAGGTTAGTATTTTTCGCGACTTTGTCAAAGTCTTGTCTTTGTCTCTCTGTGGCTTGGTTGTGTCTTGGATATTGTGTCTCCTCGGTTGTCAGTTTGTTTCACCTCGTTTGTTTCTCACCTTGAAAGACCCCTGCACCTTGTGTTGGGAGGTACCGGTGAGGATGCATGCCGGAATGCTGCACACAAGGGGCGAGTGTCCTGGGAAGAGAAGGGAAAAAAAGTGATACGACGGCGGTGGTGGTACCCGGACGACCCCGGACGGCCTGGTCGGGAAGGAGGCAGATGAACATCATCAGGGCCGTCCATCACGACTTTGAATAGCTGCAGTCAGCTGCATTCGCCAAAGAGAATCCTCCCCCTTATCGGGAATCGGGGAACGCGTTCGTCACCCCACTCTTTTCCGGCCATGCCCACATGGCTTGGGCCGTTTCTTGATTGGGAGCGTGTTTGGAGAAACAATGGCGGCATTTCAGAGGTCGAGGTACCTGTCAGTGATGGTTCTGGTTGTGTGAGGGTGGGAGTGCCTAATACGGGGCTGACAAATGACAATGCTCCCCGAGAATGGTGTCATTTCTCGTGACTTTGGGGGGATTGCACCATCGACGAGGGTTGATCAACAATGGCCGATGCCAACCACCTAACCCTTCTTGGCTACTACGCAGTCTCCCCCCAGTCTCCGCCTTCCTTTTCCATGTCGATGGCATTCTGATATTGTCGTTCGGGGACCTTCCTGGCTTCTTCTCTTCCTTTCCCTGTCTTGTATATCAGATTGTGTCATCCTGTTGTGCGAAACAAGCATTCTTTATGGAGCGGCTCCGCTGACCATGGCACAATGTCTTCAGCCGACTTTAACTTTGGCGACTTCACCACCACCTACGCCTCGCCTACCATCCCGGCCTACCCAGACGCTCTAGGACCCATTCAGCCCAACCCGCAAGCCGCCTACCCTCCGGTTTCTCAGCACTACGCTCCTCATCATGTTCAGCACCCCCATCAGCCCGGCTATGTCCTCGCCAACCCTCCCCAACTAGGCGGCAACAAGCGCAAGGCCAGCGATGCCATGTCCGTCCCCCCCACTCCCGGCGCCCGCGTCATGAGCTTCGAGGACGCCTCTCGCCTCGCCGCCGAGGAAGACAAGCGCAAGCGCAACACCGCCGCTAGCGCCCGGTTCCGCATCAAGAAGAAGCAGCGCGAGCAGGCGCTCGAAAAGTCGACCAAGGAGATGACCGAGAAGGTCACCCAGCTTGAGGGACGCATCCAGGCTCTCGAGACGGAGAACAAGTGGCTCAAGGGCCTCGTCACCGAGAAGCACGGCAGCAAGGAGGACATTCTCAAGCTTCTCCGCGAGTTCTCAGCCCAGGCTGCCAAAGTTTCCAAGGATGCTGCTGCGGCCGCGGCTGACAAGGCTGAGGCTGAACGCGCCAAGGAAGAGAGCTCCATCTGCGTTTCCACCTCTTCTCCCAGTTCTGATGAATCGGTCGACACCAACAAGAAGAGGAGGAAGGACTAAGTCCGAGCTTCCGGTGACAACGACCATCTAGCTGTGGAGGAAAAGGGGGTTTGTGGTCAGAGGGTTTTGGGATAACAGTGGATATATATCATCATACTGTCTTGGGCGTTTTCGCGTTGGTTCTTTTTTTACATTTGGTTTTTGGCTTTTTTGGTCTTGTAGTCGTTTGTGATGGAAAGAGAGTCGGCGGCAAGTTTTTGCTTTCTTGCTCTTTTTTTCTATCACGTTCATTCTCATCAGCATTTTGCTCAGCGATAATCCCGTCTTGAGCTGCACCTGGCTTGGTCGGGTGTATTGCGTGTGCCTGCATAGGTGCAAATGGGTGGATGGATGGACGGACGGACGGACGGACGAACGGACGGACGGATGGATGGACGGCATGAATGATTGAGATATCACAATGGTGGCTACAGGACTCCGGTATAACTATATTCATGGCGGTTACAGGACTCCGACATGGCGGTTACAGGACTCCCCTCAACACGAAGATTTGAAGAAGAATCTGATGAAACGAGTTATGGAAAGAATACAATGGATGGCTGGAAGATTTTCTTTTTGGCTGGCTCGCTTTGGCTCTAGCTTTGAATTGCGTGATACCATGTTGATATTGGGAATCTGGACTATTTACATACAAATACAAGAGAAATACAAAAGTATAGTACAAGAAACAAACAACCAGGCCTTGAAGTTTTCCGGGGTTTAACTCCCCTAACCCATTACTCTTTGTTTTTGTCTCATCGGCATTCATTCTTCCTTAAACCCTCACCTCACCTCCCCTTTCCTTCCTTCCTATCATTTTACCCTGTACCCTTCCCGATATCCCCTTGCACATAACATACATAGAACAATCTTCTACATCCCCTCCCCATTCACCCTCCCCTCCCTCAAATTCGTCAGTCGCAATTGATTCCTCTTCCCCAATATCCTGAGGGTACTCTCCTGTTCAATGTCGGTCATCTCATGCCAATTCGCAATCCGCGAAATCGTCCCGTCTTTGTGCACCACCATTGGCCCCAAATTGTCCAGGGCGACGGCTTGGCCGTTGACTGTTACCACCTTGGGTTGTTCCTCTGGGGGAACATGGGTGGCGGTCTCGGGGGAGGGGAGCGGGAGGGGGTTGTTGTTGTTTTGGAGTTTTTGGGATTCTACGGAGAGGGGGTCGGCGAGGGGGTCTGAGTCGTCTGTGATTTCGGGTGCGTATTGAGTTGGGCGGGAGAGGGTTGGGTCTGTGGAGGTGGCTTCTTCCTCTACCTCTACTGTGGGAGCAGTGGTGGATTCGGGGGCATCAGTGACGGTGTTCATGGGTGAGGTGCTACCGGGGACGGGTGACGTGCTTGATGCGGCCGGTGCGGGGTCCGCTTTGGTGGTAGCGTTGGATGTAGTATCCATTTCGCTACGAGCTCTGGAAGTGTGAATGAGCCTTTTGTGGCTGGCGATGGGAGTGACAGTTAAAGGTACTGGTACTGCTACCCTCTTGAGGTTGGTGCTGGTGGAAGTGCTGATCTGGGTACGGTTTTGGTAGGTGGTGGTGGTGGTGGTGATGCTTCTCGTAGCAGCCCTTCTTGACTGAAAAAGTTGGGTCGTGAATTTGCGCGCTGCTGGCCTGAGGTGGCTGTACATCACAGGCAGCACGGTATTGGCTTTTGGTGTGTATAAAGTGACCACTCTATGAGGAAAGAGTGGTGAGACTGAGTCGACTTGGTTTGGTTTGGTGTTGGTAACCTGAAGCCGAGGATTGGATGCTTGTTGGATGGTTGTGTTTGGGTAACCTGAGACTGGAATGTACCGGTACTTCAAGCTCGAAAAGCGTGGGGGTCTCAACCGTCTGAGTCTTGAGAGGTCTAGTCCTCTCATTCGACTTCAATAGTCTCCGGCAATGGCAGGCTGAAAGTGGTTGCCGCTGACTAACAGTGACAGTCGTGAGCCGTCTGTTCGAGAGTGAGACGGTGATGCTCGGTTCGGTTCAGCAGTCGATGTCAACCAAACTCGGCAAGCGGTGATTCGTCCGGACTGGTCGTCTAGCAGTTTGACTAGCAATTCTCTAGACCGTCAACTAGGCTTTATTGGTGGTGTCTTTTGTTGTGGATGAATGGATCTGTGAAAGAGAAAGCCGCGGTTGAATTGAGATGCGGACGCGTATATGGATCTCAGACAAGGATGTGCGGGACAAGAAAAAGAAGCCGTCGCGATGGCTAGCCTTGTTTGTGGTATGGCTTCGGCGTGTATGATGAGATGACGAGTTTGAGGGCTGGTGGTGATTGTGTTTTACTACAGATGTTGACAATTTGAAGCCTCTTGATACAGTGTAATATACCTCGTTTCGTGGTTGTCGTCAAGGTTCTCCTACCGCCGTCACAAAAAGCTGGAATCGTCTAGAAACCTCACCAGTGCAATTTTTTGGAGCGAGCGCCCGCCGGCCTTCTGGCGCTGAAATGACCGCATGTGGTCCGTGCGTCAGGCGACATCCATCTGCCCCTGACAAGACGGGGATCTCGAGGGCATTGTAATGTCAACAATGCATCGCATCGACACTGAAGCATTGCGGTGGCATATGGACGTGCAATGCATCGGAAATGGATTCAATGAAAAGTGGCTATTGAAAACCTTTGAATCCTCCGACATCCGGGTATTCGATCATCAACTTCGGGTCCAGCTTTCCTAGCAGCGCGGGTCAGCAGGTAGGAACGACCTGTCATGCTTTCCACAGACCGTCGCTCGTTCGGGCGGACGATTGGCGTCCAGACTGAGCACATCAGTTAGGGGACCTCTTGCGTGATGAGCCTTCCCGCTCGCGCTTGCTTCTTTGTTCTCCGCACTTGCATCCGCACCCGGACGGCAGGTTGGTGCCAACGAACTTTCCTTTGCAGCGGCCTGCCTGGCTGGGGTCCCGGCTTCTGGAAGGAAGGATTCCGTGTGGGCTCTTTATTCACATCCCCGGGATTTGAGCTTCATTGGGAAGGGAGATCGATCATCGCGCTGGAAATTGGAGGATGTTTCCTCGCACGAAGCTCGCACGGCAAGAATCAAGAGCTCGATATCAGCGAAAACCTTGCGATGTGATGAGATTTTGTGGTGGTGAGATGATGATCTGGCTGTGAGCTCTTGTCCCGTCGCTTTCCGCATGCTGTATTGCTATTACTACTGACCATAGACTCACGAAAACTCTTCTGCTTGCCCAGATGCAACGATATTGTCCGGCTGGCGACGTATATGAGGGCAGGTATGACAGCAAGTTGGCCACCGCGTGGGGGCTACCCGCTAGGTGTGCTGTGTGTCCTTGAGGAGAAGGTACCTACGGTCGCTGGTAGCTGCGACGGACGTGATCATGACAGGGAGGGCAGACCAGAAAGGCAAGACAGGCAAGACCGGCCAGGGGATGGCACTCGCTGTCGCGGCCCGAAGGCGACCATCCCGCGAGCTCGCGATGCACATGAGCTGAACATGACAGATGGAAATCCCATCTGGAGATGGGCTAAGTAGGGTCTTGGAGTGCCCTTGAGCACGGGGGTGAGTGCTGATTTTTCCTCTGAGCACGCAATTCCTCACCGTCGACGAGTGCTTACGTATTCTGCCCGAGAATCCAACCGTCTCTCATCTGTTTTTTTTTTCACCTTCTTGGACATCCCCTGGTCCAACTTTTGCCTTGCGAGCCTTGAGATGCTCTCCGGCGGGCTGAGAAACACTCACGTTTCGGTAGGTCGGACCTGTTCTCGTTCCGAGATCTCGTGCTGACGCTGTCCTCAAGGCTTCCGACGCACCAGTCCACTTCTATCACAGCGCTGCTGCTGGCATGAAGACCGCCGGGGGGGCAGAAAACTCACCGTACCAGCCACGCCTCTTATTCACCAGCACCAAGCCCTGCTACACCAAGTCAACGCCACATCTTGCGCGCCACCATCTTCGGCATCGTCCTCACACAATTTACTCTCCCCTGAAGAGCCTACCAGGCCAAGGAGACCCCCAGGTTAAAAGATACCCCATCCTGAGTGTTCATCAACCCAGCAGGTCAAGTGTTCTTTATCTGACATCGGTTCGCTTGTAGCTAGCCTACAGTACTTTTTGAAGGGCGATTCCGATGCCACCAAGTCTCCCAATTGCATACTGGACCGTATAGCCGCCAGTTGAGGCCGTTGAACGTTCACTCACTTTCTTCTCTTCAACTTATCTCACTCCCTGCTGGTTTCTTCCAGTCTTTCTTTCTCCAATGAGCTCTGCTACTCCCCCAGATGTTCAAAGTGTTGAGCATTCGCACAAAAAAGACTTTGCTAGGTCCATTCCCTCATTGCTCTAGAACAGCAGATAATAAGAAGTATCAGGATCTACTTGCTTTGAAGATCTCACAAGGCCGTATCTCGAGCGCTAGTCTGGCGAACATACAACACTTCCTTTTGCTGTTCCACTTACGTTGTCTGCAATTCCTTCAAAACTTCTCGGGCCTGGCATGGAGATTTTGTTGCCCGGCAAAGTTGACGATGGCCTAGCACAGGATATCTAGTCTGGGCTGCACACAGCCGGGGAGATGTTGGGCAGAGATTCCACGCAGTATTTCGCTATGGTTTTTGAGCCTTCAAGTGTGGAACTAACAGACCGGAGGTGTGAGCGCTTACAGCTATTACCAGGCGGCCCAACAAAGAACAGCCTTTGTTAGTGTCAGATGGGAAGTCGGTAAATGATAACCTCAGACGGATGTCTCGCTGGGCCCAAAGGGAGCAACGGAGCACAAAGCAGTAAGGGACAAGGCATGACAGGAAGTGGCAGTACAAGAAGGACGGAAACAAGGACAGTGAAGGAGTCAGCTGGACTGGCACCCTGGATCATCGCTGATTCTGTGAAGTCGCAGATGATGGGTTTAGACACAGCGAGAACTATTCGGCGCAATAACAGACGGCAGCTGGTATCGGTGGATGGTGTTCTTGGTTTGGGTCTAGGATTTTTATTTCACTTAGGTATGCAAGGTTGCGCAGTTCAGTACGCTTCCAGTTGATGTCATTGAATATTCATTCCTTTTCCTCTCAAGTCAACTCATTTTCTACGTCTTCACATCAGTCTTCTCTTTCTCATGAACTCTGATACTCTCCTACAGTTTTTGACATTGCCATGCCTTCACACGGGAAAACTTTCTATGCTAGGTCCAACTTCCCCACGCGTAAATATAAAGGCTAACGACAAGCGTCAGGTCCTCCTTGCTTATAGTGGTATTTCTAGCGTCAAGCTCGCCAAAATGTTATGCACGCCCTAGTTTTTCTACTTGCACTGTCGGCGTTTCGCTCAAGGGTAGGTAGGTACCTATTGGGGACCAGAATGGAAAGCCGGTATCCGGTCAAGTTGTTGGTAACATGATGACTTTGTCTTCGATCCTTCCCGCCTTAAAGTCAAGAAGTGGGATTTGGGAGCGCTTACACTTTTTACGAGGAGGCCCAACAAAGGATTGACCGGCCGTGGATCCACCAGTCACACTGCGAGGATTATAACTCATGGCTCCCGGTATTGATTTATCGCGACCAACAGGCATCATGCCCTACATCACGATGACTACCCCTAGGTACATAGCGGCAATTTTCATCTCGGCGTCAGACAGTTGGGAGTTGAGCCAGTGTTGACCAGCAAGACTTTTCATTGATACGATATTGATGCGATATTACGAGATGGCCTTCAGTCATTGATAAGGGATGTGTATAAACTCAACATCGAGTTCCTAGCGCTGCAGAAGCGCGCTCATAGTGGATATATTATAAGATATATAACAACTACCGTACTGGGACGATGCACCCCTTAACATCGGATGTTGCGTCCAGGATTAAATGAAAACAAAACATCGGATCAGGTTAAAACTTCCAATGTTGAACACCCTATAAGCAAAAGGATGCTAGGCATTCGCTTTCTATCTTTTAGAAGGTTAAAGTGAGGTACCTAGTAGAGTTCATTGTCAGAAGGGCTGAGGTCCTGGCCGGTCCGATGGCTGTCGGTTGAGGACAAATTCAAAAAGTTGGATGAACGAATCACAGTGATGGAAAAAATGAAGAACTACTTCAATGACCACTTGGCCACTGGACTAACGGCTGGTTCTTCCTGGTTATAAAGGGGAAGTGCGATGTTTTGGGAGGAAGGAGGGAAGGAACGACTTTGAGATTTTGAAAAAAATTGAAGTTTCGGACCCAACCGAGGTTCAGGTGCAATGCCCGATATTATAGCGCCTTCAACTTTGGAAGTTCTTTCAACATTGGAAGTCATGGAGGTACAGCCTGGAATTTCGATGTCACAGATTGAATTTTCCCGCTACGGTATATAAGAGATGGTTAGGTCTGCTTCTAGAGGTATTGAAACAGCATCATCAGAAGTTTTAACCCTGTTTTACTCTCCTCGTCCATCTACAACACCCACGAACGCCAACCAAAACTTTCGAAGATGGAGTCCTGGTCCATCGAGACTCAATTCGTCTATCCGCCACCAGTCCACGTTGCTCTAAACGAGGAAATCCCGACGCTAGCCATCGTGAGGGTGAAACCGCTACCTGATCCAGCCTGGGAAACAGTCACAGTGTCGATGACCGTGCATCATCATCTTACCCAGGTCGTTACGGTTAACAGGAGTGTTAGCGATGGCTTGGTGGTTGATGATGAGCCAGACGCATTGTTCTTCGTCTTCGACAACGTCAAAGGTCCCGAATCAGTTGGCAACTATGGGCTGAAGTTCGAGTACTGTGTGGATAATTACCGGGACGAAAACAACACCGTGATTGAGCCACCGCCAATCCAGGCTATTTGGTCATTCACATTACCCAAAGCCGAGCACGGGTACTTGGTGGGTCGGTTGAAAGTTGGTCTGATGGAAGTCAAAAAGGAAAAGACATTCGGGGACGGAGTGCCAAGGCAGGACTCGCTCATATGTAAGTCCAATATGCACATCAATCACTTCCGCTATAGTCGTTCCTTGAATCATTCAAAATACTTCAATAGGTACCTAACTTCCTGACATGACTGTCTCGATCTGACTTGTTACAATAAAGGCCGCGACTACCAAAACAAATCCGACGTCGAGTATCAAAGCAGGATTGGCCAGATCCTGGCCCTTTGGGAAAAAGCAAAACCGCCAGGCGAATATACCTCTAAACCCTGTACGGCATCCAACCTAAATCCACAGGCATTGTAGCCAGTTTGCACTACGGTCAGTGCTTTGAACAAGAACGGGGATGGAGGAGCCAGCCGCTGAAGCTTTTCAACGCAGGTGTGTAATCAAGACAGGGAAAGAAGAGGACAGAAGGACGCACTGAACAGGAGGGCAGAATGGGACATGGTGGGAACAGTGTTGGGCTAGCTGGACTGGCATTATAGGTAGTCACTCATTTTTGGAAGACATGGGAGATGGTTTCGGAAGACGGAAACAGCTGGTACGAGCATTCCATGCGGCGGAATAACAGTTAGATAGTGGCAGTTGGTCTCTTTGAATGGGGATTTTGGTTGGGGCCTCGGATTTTTCATTTTAACGTAACTGTGCGGGCATGGTTAGACGGTTCGGTCAAGTGCTTGATAGGAAGTCGGTCTTTACTAGCAGGTGTCAGTTAGTCAATGTTTTTTTTTTTTTTTTTTTTTTTTTTCCTCATTTCGATTTGATATTTAACATCCTTTTACCTGATCATGATCTGGATCGCAGGGATATCTCGAGCCTCAACCAGACAATTAATTGCACGGATCACTCGACCGGGAAGCGGCTATTGGATCATGGACTGGAGATCCAGGAAGGGCAACATCCAGTTACCCAGCTAAGCGGGGGTCACCGGACATAGGGAATTACAGGACGGATGTGGGCAGGGAGAAGAACAAGACAAGATGCAACAAGGAAAGGACAGGGCCGGGGCCAGCTGGACTGGCTGGGTGACACTTTCATGTTTTCGATCGGGAGGAAGGGACCAAGGCTCCAGAAAGGACTGCTTTGCCTGCCAGGACGTCTTTCAGTTTGCAACATCGGCCGGAGTCATGGTCCGTACTACCATGGAAGGCTGGATGGATGGATGCCTACCCGGGAAGGATGCTTTGAGATTGGGATAGTTGATGTTACTGCCTTTTTGGCTTTGATAGAAATACACTCGTTTAATCACAGATTTGACGTACCTCCAGTGAGTATTCTGTTTGCGTTGCTGTTCAAGATGTCGATGAAGTTTAAGAAGGTGCTCATCTTCATTCATAGCACAAGGCATCCAGCTTGGACTGCATGTATGATGCAGCAAAAACAGGTGCATGCCCCAGTTTCCCCAAAGACACTCTAACGCAATGTTTCCCCAACACCAATTTTTGCTTGGATAACCGAATAAGAAATCGATCCAAGCAGTGCAATATGCACCTAGAAAGTAGAGTGCTTAGTAACGAAGTGGCCATTACTTTGTCGCCATCTGTTGCCAGACGTCCCCATCTTTCTCTGCACCTCTGATTTTGCTGCATAGGTAGCGCTTCCCAGCAATCTTCAATCCGGTGAGGTCCTTTTTATTCACATCACGCCTTTGGGAACGAGGCAACCAACCGCCCGGTGTTGCGAGCGCTAACAGCCCTTTCCCAGGACCCGTGGACAAAGAATGCCCTTTGTTGGCAGGAATCATCCCGCACCAGCACACAGTGTGTGGGAAGCCACGGCCACGCCTGTTAGTAAATTGCAGTTGACTCTCGCCTAACCTTAACAAAGGGCAAGCGACCAACTTCTGCTACCTCGGTCAATCGCGTCGGTTGGGACTCCGGCTCGAGCCCGGCGTTCACACGGCTCAGAACCTGGAGCACCAACAACACGTCTGATACACCATCACCACTCCCAACAGTTGACACCAGCATCATTACGGCGCTTGGGTTCTACGAACGGGAGCATGTGAGCTCATCATGAGGCGACTGGCGCTACCTACGCGCTGGACAATGGGCGAGATGCTCGTAACAGCCAACATCAGTACGCGGACATCAAGTGGAATGGTCCTCTGGTCATCTCTCCGGCTTGTATCTTGCTGCTCCGTTTTTCTATAAAGACTGACTTGTCGACCTATCCGGTTGCCAGGATCTTCAGCAATCACGGCGTGAACCACAAGCATCATCACAACACCCTCTACCTGCTCCGTTATTCACACAACCTTCAACTCTAGGAAAGACGAAGAGAGGACAACTTCGACAAAATGGATCAACGAACCCCTGTTGAAGAATGGTTTCCGGGCCCCCAAAAGATTGACCAACCCTATCCAATCATCAACGACACATCAGGCATCCCTCTCAAGGCTGAGCTTGTTGTTCCACCCCCCGATCAAGTTTCCAAAGGCGGGTGTATCGAATGCTTAGGCGTGCTTAAGCTGCCGATGCCTGACCCGGAGCACTGGTTGCCAGACGGGAGTTACGTCACAGTCAAAATATCATCCTCGCCTGCAGAAAGCCATCAATCTTCTCCTAGTCGCGGGTCAATTTGTGATGGAAACTCTGAGAAAAACTACTGGTACGGAGAGACTCGTGAGTATGAATCTTCTGTCACTTCCGAGGTAATTCCATCGGAGGGTTGTTCAGAACCGGATCCCGCAGAGCTTTGTGCGTTTGAGGAGTATTCCAAATGGATGTTCCCGGCTTACTCGAAAACTCAACGTCGATGGCGAAGGAGACTTCCTATACTTCCTCATAGGTGGTAAGCCCATCAACATGGCCGGCAGGCTCAAGTTATACTTCCGGGTACATATCCATGCGTATGCGCGCTATCGCCGTTATTGAGATGGGACTCGTGAATTGGGAGTAGAACACCCGCCCGAAGAGCTGTGGATGAATGGATTTCTACCTGATGGAACAACGGTTTATTACACGGCGGGGGTCCTCATACCTTCAGTACAGATAGACATGAGGCCAGAAGCTAGAGTGCAGAGGCAAAATATCTTGAGTAAGTTGTCCCTAGCAATCCAGTCAGGACCACCAGTTCAAGTCACATTCCACAATCCCAGTGAAACATTTTAACTGACCAGTTGTTTCTGAAATAAACAGCCGAGTAGCAACGAGACCTCGTCGAGAAGCTCAAGAAGACTGAGATCTTGCCCACTCCTTCCTATTGGTGTAGGATGTCCTACCTGCATGCGCGCCCAAGCCCAGACAGTGGGGAGGAGTTACGGGGACGAAGGACACGAAGCCGTTGATTGAGTATGGCAGGTGGGAGACCGGAAGCAATGCGGCCGGAAAGAGGGCAAGATACATATATGTAGAGCGAGCAAGGGAGGTCTAGTTGAAGCTGGGCCAGCTGGACTGGCTGGGTGATCAAGTACTTTCATGCTTTCCAGCGGGAGGAAGGACCATTGAAGGGTTCGGAAGGAACTGCATTGATTATCTAGTGTGATGTTTCCCCAGCATTCACCGGTAATTCATTCCACGAAGAGATAGGTATGTCCACCCTAGGAAGGAGGAACCTGGATAGGTAGCAATGTTGATGGACTTGGCGCGTCGTTGCTTGAGTTATAAATGATGACAGAGGACGTGGTTGATCCCTCCGTTCTGTATGACTCCATTATACATCACTTTGTCTCAATTTTGTTTACTTCCCTTTGCTAAATTATCTAATTCATTCAATTCTCGAAAATTCTCGAAATGGCATCAAGACATGGCAAGTGGTTCGATAACCGTCAGGAACCAGATTTCGATCACTGGTCACTTTCAGATGGCCACCCCCAACCGAGGATCTGCGGTTCAAACGAAGGCTTCCTTGTGGCTCATCTCGACATGCCCCCACCCCCCAAAGTGGCAACGAACGACAATATTCCATGGGCAGCGGTGGTCAAAATACCGCGGAGGCCGAAATCATGCTGGCTGGTAACAGAATGTCGCATGATAGCATGCGATCCGGAGGATCCTACGAATAAGGACACCAATATACCCCTTACTACGCTCAGTGGTGGCTGGAACTATCCTAACACGGACACCTTGTACTTCTTCTTCGAAAACGTCACCTTCCCCAAAGCCGGCATATTCCGAGTCAAGTTCGAAATCGTCATGATGGGGTATAGGGACCGGTATGATCGTCCTCATGAAAACGATTACTACCCATTCTTAAAAAGCAATTTCTGGAACTATGAGGATATCCCGGACGAGGAAAAAATGGAAGAATACAAGAAGACCGGTTTCCGCGCGGGCGTTTTGGTAGCTGGTGAGGACACAATCGTCTCAGATGAACCCGACTGGAGAGGAATGAACGATCCTGCCAATTGGATATCAGGTAAGTCCGCCAAATGCACATCATCTCTGACACCAAGCTGTTGGTAGATCAGTATGCCATACACCGGCGCTTTCGCACCCCCGATCAAGTCATATCTTCTTGCTAATGTGGAACAACAGGTTCCAGGGCAAGGGCAATAATCGAAATGATCGAGGAGAAGAAACGCAACTGCATCAAGGTCCTCAACAATAACCTCGAACCTGAAACGCCTTTGCCTACCTAGTCAATCCTCCTCCACGCTGTGATCGAGTTTTCTCGATAGGACCGGAGCCCGTATCGTCGAATCGCCCAACTCGACATCCACGAAAAGCGGCATTGGACCATTTCAATGGGAGTGTGTCATCGAAACCAGGACAGAGCAATATAGGAGGATGAAGCAGAATGGCAGGATGGGCAGGATAGCAGGATGGGCAGAATAAGCCAGATAGACAGGATCGATAAGCAGGATATATTATTTGATGGACAAGGGTGGGCCAGCTGGACTGGCTTGGTCGCTGCTCTTCAAAGTGTCGACAGAGCTTTTGTGGCGGAACAATGAGATAGGAGAGGCAATTGTTACTGCATTTCTAGTTTATGCCCACTCGAGAGAAAGGGGGTCAATCATACGTTACCATGCTTATTCTTCGAACCCAGTCCTCCCTTGTCCTGTCATCGCCATTATCCATTGTGCCGACCATGGAGGTATTCACTATATCGCATATCTTCGCATTGACGTCAAACTAACCTCAAAGCATCTATCTTTCGTGCACTCCATGCATGAATAACACTCTCAGTGTGATTCTCAGTGTGATACCATTCCGCTTTCTCATCACCAACTACAACGCCTCCGGGGCGCCCATGCCGCCTTTCACGTTCGTTCAAGCGTTATGTAAGTAAGTACCTACAAAGGGCCAAACAAAGCGAACACATAGGCATTAAATTACGTGTTATAGGGTCAAACTAATGAAGTAATCGCATGCGGCTGCTAGTTGCGCCCAAGGGATGGCACGGCTCAGAGTCCGGCAACCAACAACCCGTGTATATCTGCTGAGTTTGGATCAGTGAGTCAAGCAGATGATGGCAAGAAACCATTGCGAGGTCATCACGAGGCTTGAAAACTGCTGTTGGCACGGCTCAGAAGGTACAATCGCAATCTGGCCTTCTCATCGCCTTCTATCAATCTAGGGCGCTCAAAGGCCGGTGGACACCATCCTGCCTTCGCCATATTGTGCGTGATATTGAACACAGGTATATACCTCTTTCAACTAAGAACTATCCACCTTCGTTGGTGATGAACAAGCGCTCCGGCCTGCAGCACAATGCCCGGTCAATGGCAATTCTTTGCCGGTAGCTCAGACAACGAGAATAGAATCTAATCTTGAAGCGGCTTCAGCGCCTTTGATGATTCCAGTGCAGTTGATGACACTTCAACGAACGGAAGGGAAACCACAAATTGCTCACGAGGATCCTGGCACTCCATGCAAGCGCCAAAGACGAAGATTGAAAGAAACGTATAGGTAACTCCCAACGTAAGTGTGTTGGATGGACGTGTGAAATTCTTGAAGTGGCCATGATGGACTTGGTACGTCGTTGCTTGAGATACCTATCTATAAATGACCGCCGAGGACGTGGTTGAATCTATCTGGACAAACTCAGCCCAGTATCCATCAGTTTACCTCAACTTCTTTGGCTTCTCTTCTCTTCATTCTATCATCTACACCATTCAAACCGCGTGCAACTTCAACAAAATGGAACAGAATCCTGAGGAACGGCCTTTTGGGCCATGCAAAGCCCCCTTTGTCCATAATCGGTGGGACAAGTACCAAATGTTTTCTACCGAAGCTGGAGAAAAACCCCAGCCACAGATTTTCGGTGTAAACGACGAGCGCCGTGTTCTCGCTGGACTACTCGTTTGGCCTCCCACCCGAGTGGCACCAGGGGAGAACATGGTACTGGCAGCAATGGTTAAGATATCACCTCCTCCACATCCAAATTGGATAAAGACAGTGTGTCGCATGATAGCTTTCCCCACTCGAAAAAACCCCGAGGACAAATTCGATAAAAAGGCCGAAATCTGCCTTGCCACACAAGATATTGGCTGGAGAAAGCCAGGAAACTTCGAAGACTTTAGAGAGCTAGACTGTGTTTGTTCCCGTACTTTTTCGTACAAGAAGGGTCTATCGTATATCCTCATACGGCGGGCACGGACCACATGGTAAAATCTATCGTATATCCTTTCTACACCCCCCTTATACAGCCGATGTACTGCAAAATCGTTTGTTTCGAGTACATTCTATTTGCGACGACGGGGTTTTTAGCGGGTTATAGGGCAGAGGCGTCGCACAAATGCGCTGGAGCACCCCAAAATCCAGGGCACTTACAGGGTACAGGAAGTTGGCGTACACGCATACCGCATTTTTGGGCATGTGTACATTTTGGGGATTCCATACGGACATGGAAAATCTATACGATTTTCTGGCCATATATAACCCTAACCCGGCCAAGGCTATGCGAGGCTAACATAAGGGGGTCGCAGATTGCCTTTTTATACGAAAAGCAACCAAACGCGAGAATTTCTATACGATTTCAGTATAAAAAAGTGCGTATGAACCCTTCTGTAACACAAAAGTACGGGAACAAACACAGTCCTACACTTCAAGTTCGAGAATGTTGCCTTCCCCAGAGCAGGAGAGTTCGAGGTCAGGTTCGAAGTCAACGTGACTGAGTATTTGGACGCAGGAGAAAACCCCATAGTTGACTGGCCGCCTGAACACCTTTGGCCATCAGAGGCCCACATGGAAATCAGATTGGGAACCTCGCGTGACCTGTACAAAGAAACTGGGTTTTGCGCAGGCATTTTGGTAGTTGGTCAGCAGACGCACGTCAGGGAAGAATATAAAGGGAAATGGTTTGACCGTAAGTCCGCCAGATACACTTGACCTATGTTACCTATTTGCGGCTGGAACAACATGCCACACACCAAAAGGTACCCATTTGGCTGAATTATACCTTGCTAACTGGTATGGAATACAGATCAACTGGAAAAAGAGGAACATGGCGATTTACCTGAGGGTCAGGATGAAGAGTTGTGGGTTCGTTTGGGGGAGTCCGAGTACATCAAAGATCTTCAGGAGGAGGCGACAAAAAAGGTCCTTGATAATGAAGGGCGATATTGAACGCAACACCCAGCGAACCGTCTTCCATACCTCGACTCACTTCTCTCGACAGGAGCCTGAATCGTCGAATCTGCCCACTCGACGTGAAAGCGGCATTGACCATTCCAATAGGAGTGTGTCATCGAACCCAGGAGAGAGCAACACAGGAAAACGAAGCAGGATGGCAGGATGGGCAGAATAGCAGGATGGACAGGATGGACAGGATGAGCAGGAAATGTTATTCAAGGGACAGGGCTGGGCCAACTGGACTGGCTAGGTGACTACTTTCATGTTTTCTGTTGGAAAGAAGGGACACTGATTTCGGAAGGAACCGCCGGTTTCTTTCATGATGACGCTCCTCCAAGTATCAACATCGGCAGGAGTCAGTGTCTGTCTTACCATGGAAGGCATGGCAGGTAGACACTTACCCTCGGAAGGTGCTTTGGGATCGGGATAGTTATCGTTACTGCATTTTTGGCTTTCTAATCGTCTGTTCCTTGAGGACGCTTATTAAAAATGGGGACACCCTCTCTTCGCTGCACTTCTCCTTGTGACATCGATGAATCACGCAGTTACATAAACTACTGGTCTGTATTCTCACAACAAACATCATCATCACGGTATCTACCACTTCATTCATTCCCATTTATTTCACCACCCACACAGCATTCAACAGTACAGAACCACTGTCAAGATGAGCAGCTACGCCAAATGGTACCGCCCCCACTGCTTATCAGTTCCCGACTACCTTCACGAGCCCTTCTTCCGCCGCCCTCAGCCCATCATCCGAGGCAAAAACGGCACCCCCGTCGCTGCTAGACTCGTTATCCCACCTGATATCGACGCCATCTCCGGCGCGCTGGTCGAGTACGCCGCCGTTATTGCCGTCAACCCGCGACCAGACCCGGAGCTCTAGGGGAACACCGCAGTGCACATGAAGATGATGTTGGTTGAAGACAAGGAAAAACAGCAACCGGAGGAGATGGTGAGGAAGTCGATAGAGAAGGTGGATGAAGACGGGCATGTGATACACCACATGGATGACAAAAATAACTACCTGGATGAAAAAGGTAATGTGGAAATGGCAGCATATCCGATCCCAATCCGGCTGCCCCTAAGTTGTCCCTGCCCCTTCCCTTACCCCTGCCACTGGCGAGACCGAACATAACCAAAGAAGACTTGGACACTGCCTCTTAATACTTCTTTCTCCTTCTCCCCAAGTGCCCACTGCGGACACAAACCACAGCCAGTCAAACATGAAGGAGATAGATGTTCTCAAGCAAATTGTTCTTAGGCCTGACTGACCTTCTCTTAGGAAAAATTCTCCCGCTTGTCCATCCATTATATGGGCAGCGAGTAACTGTCCAGTCAAGAACTGTCCGGCCAAAACGATACCTCCCCATTCGCAACGCCAAAACCAAGGCCCTCACCAAACTCAACGCGATCACAATCATGGAAATGTCTGGCTCCGCGAGCCCGACGCCCTTGCCCGAGAAGCGGAACTCAGTTGACCCAGATACGGACAAAGACACCGTTAACCACAAAAACGAAGACACCATCATCGATGAAGCCACCATCATCGATGAAGACACCGTCATCAATGAAGACACCGTGATGGGTAAAGACACCGTCATCGACGAAGATGCCGACACCGACACCTCCACCTCGACGAACCGCATCCCTTTCGACAAGCGAGGCGCCTCCCCCAACCCGCCCAGGATCGAAAAGCTCAGCTCCTCCGAATACGGCATTCAAGTTCCCAAGAAAGAGGAGACCTTGTACTTCGTCTTTCAAAACGTGCGGCTCCCGTGCAAGCCGGGAAAATACCGAGTCCTGTTCGACGTGGTGGTGAACGATTACCGGGACGAACAGGACAGAAAGTTCCCACACGAGGATCTGTGGCCGGAGGGAGCATATCCGGGTGAGGAGGAGATGGCGAGGTCGTCGTATCGGTGCTATCAAGCGGGCGTGTTGGAGTTTAAGCACGAGGTGGAGGTGAGGTATCGTTCGAACTGGACAAGGCCCATTGCTGTTTATTTGGGTGAGTACCGTACCTACCTCCTACCTACCTGCCTTGTCTTGCTATTTTGGCTTTTGGCTTTTGGTCGAGGACAGGACTTGACTTGAGCGTTTTTTTCTTGAATGAACACCAAGTTCACTTCCTGTCTTTTGGGTTGAACATTTTTTTTTTTTTGCTGATGTTGGATTTGTGCAAAACAGACTCGGAACAATACGATCTTATCGAATGCCTTTTCAGTGTGGGGGCCCTTTATACTCCGAAGCGATGGCGCGAGGAGAGGGAATGGTTGGCGTCGCTCCGGAAACAGAAACATTATCAAACCCAAATCATCCAAGTCGTCCAAATCCCAGCCCATATCCCGGCCCATATGCAAACCCCTACCCCAGCGCAAATCCAAGAGCACTTCCAAGCCCTCCAGGCCCATATCCAAGCCCAAGCAGGGTTGACTCTACCCAACCAGTACTTGTCAGGCGTTGAATCGTGTCCTTCCGATACCTATGATTCAAGCCCTGAGGAGTAAAGGCAGCGTTGCCGGATGGGCTCTTGGACTGGGGTTGAATAGAATAAAAAGGGTGATACAATGATGGACTAGGAGGAAAGTGGTTGAAGGAACGCTCAATGTACTAGCGGAAGGATCAAGGTTTTGGGAGGTGAGGTGAGCAGTCAGTTGTCTGGGATTGTTGGTCGTTCGTTCATTCTACCTCAGAGGTCATATACTTGGACATTGGAAGAGAGTCCCGTCTAGATGATGGTGTGGAGGCTTTGGTCAGCGCTTGAAAGTGTAAAAACACAGAGTCTTCGTGGAATTAGAAGGTTCTAATATATTATCATACAGCGCAACTTGTTGGCACGGCTCGAACGAACGAAGTACTTGAACGGAAGCCGAACCAACGACACATCTGAAGCAGTCACCATGATCCTCTATCCCGGCGGGAAGGAGAAGTCTTCGTATAACGATGAAAGGAATCATGAACTTGCCATCAGATTAAAAATGGGACGTGACCATTTCACAAGTTACCAACAGGAGGACGTTGGACACTTACCTTACTTGATCACGGCACAACGTCAATGTTGCAACCGAATACCGATCAATCGGGTGTCTAGTCTACTTCTCGTTCCGAACTCCAATTTCCCACTTCGCTCCTGAAGACAGAGAGAGAAAAAAAAAAAAAAAGAAAAAAAGGAAAAGGAAGCAGCAAAGTATAACAAGAAACAGAGTGAGTGAAAAAGAATAGAAAGTGAGATTGAAAGCCAGGAAGGAGGGTGCAGTTTGCCAGGAAGGAGGGTGCAGTTTGCCAGGACTCAAGAGTGGTTCTTTCTGGGACTGAGCAAGGTGGTGGTTGCCCGATTACCGGTATGCGGGACGCCCCAAAGGTCCAACCAAGTATTTGTAAGGTACCTTCCCTACTATGCGCACGGCGTACTACACAGTACCTTCCGAAGATCAATGAGAAAATTTGGTTGATTGCCCGTGGGGAAGAGATGCTGAATGGGAGGAGTGATGATGGAAAGTACGAGTGACGTTGAAAGAAGCTCTCTCACGTGCCTTACGCGTTGGTCCTCTGGGGTCTTGGCGCTATTGGTACAGTGCACCAGTAACGCAGCACGGAAGCGTCTGCCTGCCGTTCCGCCGGCGGCCAGGGCGGCGGGGATGTTTTGGCTTCCGGTCGCTGAGCTGAGCAGGTAGTCAAGTCAGAGAGTCGTTTCCTACCTACTGATAATGATTAGGCTGTGTGTTCTTGTGTTGATTGATGCAAAGGTTGGGTCAGGATGTGGAGGAGGTTGCTTAGGTACCTGATGGCTTAGGTGTTGCCTTAACAGTTAGTTTACTTGTCATTCCCTGAGTGGTGAGGCGTTGTTAGTTGGGTTAACGCATCAACAAACACTTTTCAGGCATGGAAATTTGTCCCAAGGACCAAAGGACTGGCATCAATCATCTCCATTCATTTCCCCTTCAGTTCTCTCCTCTCAAGTTCCCAACAACACCCCTAACCTATTTTTGTTCCCTAATCCATACATACACCGAGAATACCATATCATAAACCATGAAACCATGCCATCGATGCTTGCTTGCTCGTCCATCCCATCCCATCCCATCATGAAATAAGAAAGAACCTGGAAGCCGAAAGCCGCCGAGAGTTATATAGCCATAACCCGTAATTCCAACAGAAGGAAAAAAAAGTCCATGCACCGTAAACCATACCAAAAAAAAACCGTTGCTATGCACGCATCATAACTCCTTGCTTGTCAAAACCATTCAGGACAAAAAGAACAAGGAAAAAAAGGAACAAACCCAGCCAACCAACCAGCTAACCCAGACAGAAAAAACTTTTTCGTAATCATGACAGGTCATGACCATTTCATGACAAATTCATGCTCGCTCGCTTCGTTAAACATTTTCCCCAACAGACAGACAGACAGACAGACAGACAGACAGAAAGAACCACTGACTCAACCAGCGAAGCTATCTAGCCTCCGCCAACCACCTCTCCTCCCTCTCTCTCTGCATCTGCCTCACCCTCTCTTCCATTTCTCTCTGATTCATTCCCATTCCACTCATCTGTATCTGTTGCATTCCGCTCCCCTGTCCATGTCCCATACCGCCGCTCGGGGGGCAGCCATTCACTCCATGACCGCCCATCCCGCCATTAGCGTTGATGTCTACTTCCCTCAACACTCCATTTCCTCCTCCACTGAGCCCATTAACTCCATTGACACCACGACCCCTTCCATTCAGCGGACTTCCATTATGCAACACCTGCTGCTGCTGTTGGTACTGCTGTTGGTACTGCTGTTGGTACTGAGACTGAGACTGAGACTGCCCATTAACCCGTCCAGCAACAGGACTCATACTCTGCCTCCTCCCACCACCATGACCACCTTGCCCATTAGGACCCTCGGCGTCGCTACCGACGACAGTAGTGGGACTGCCGAATCCAAAGCCGCCAACAGCTGATCCGAAACTGGAAGCGCCTGTGGGGAGGCCAGGCATTCCCGGGACATTTGGCACCCCCGACATATTATTCGCGGGGGCAGCAGTAGCTGGACCCGTCGCTGCATGCACGGGAGTAGAACTAGGGATAGAGAACACCCCGCGCGCAACCAACGCCTTCCAAACCTCATCTCTCCTTCCCAAAACGTCTTGGCGATCAAAAGGGAGACCATCCACTTTTTTGAGTCGCGAACATTTCTCAGCGAGCAAATGATCGTACACCCTGCGCCGCATCTTAGTCTGGAGATCAAGTCTTGATGAATAGGCTTTGTCGGAAGCGGGAGTTTGCGAAGGTAAAGTCCATTGGTCCTTATTCTCGTGTTCGTCCTGCTGCCCATCATCTGCTTCCTGTCCCTTTTGTGCATGTGCCTCCTCGTCCATGTTGTTGCTCGATTTGTTCTGGTTCTGCTTGCCGAGACTAGCAGCACCGCCTTTGCATAGCTCTTGGACGGGGGAGTAAAAGCCCATTACCAGTCCGTTACCGCGCAAGTCAACGGCTGTGAGGCAGGAGAAGTTGGTAAGGACTTCAACCAGTGAACTGAGATCCCTAATTCTGTTCCCACTGAGGAATAACCGCTTCAACCGGGGGACGTGGCGCAGGGGGGAGAGGTCCTCAAGTGCGTTCATGTTGAGGTTGAGAACGCGCAGGTTGGGCATCATTTGACCGACGTCCACGGGGAGTTTGGTGAGACCACAGTTGGCAAGTTCGAGGAGTTGCAGGTTGAGGAGGTCGATGCGGGGGTTGAAACCGCTCTCTTCGACGCCCTTGGGGTTGGTGGTGCTTCCTAGGTAGTTACCGGAGAGGAAAAGCTTGCGGACTTCGTAGGCCCGAGACAAAAGATGATCGAGGTCGAGAGGTTCGGGACCTTGTTGCTCGCGGAGGGAGAGCGAGTCGAGGTGGCGGGCGCGGGAGAAGCCGTGGATGCGGACGAGGCGGTTGCGGTCGGCGTGGAGAAGGCGGAGGTGAGGAAGGGCGTGGATGGAGAGGTGCGACAGACAGTTGTCGTTGAGGTGGAGATACCTCAGCGACGAAACCGCCTGTCCGTGCTCAGAAACCGGGGAGTTGGGTCCAGACGTAATAGCCGCTGGTGATCCAACTTCAAACACATCGATCTGGTTCCCTTCCAGGTTCAGCGAGCTCAAGACCGGAAGCTGGTCCAGGTTCACCACTGTCTTGATCTTGTTTCCCCTCAGATCCAGCTCGGTAAGATGCACCAACCTCGCCCCATCAAAGTCCACCTCCTCAATGCAATTGCCCCTCGCCCTCAACACCTGCAACCCATCATGGAACTTGATGCCCTCCAAGCTCTCCAAACGATTATTATCCACCCTCAACTCCCTCAAATGCACCAATTGCTTGAACGGATTCAAGCTCGTCAAGCGGTTATTCGAGATATCTACATACTGCAGATTGATCAAGTGTCCCCACGCCGTCAAGCTTGACAGCTGGTTGTTGATCATCTTGAGGAAGCGAGTCGTGGACGGAGCGCCGGTGAGGTTCCTAATCTCGTTGTGGCTGGCGTCGAGGGACTCGAGACGGCCGCAGAACGCGTCGAGGGCGTGCAGCGATTCGAGACGCTTGTGCGCGAGGCAGAGGTTGCGCATGTCTTCCCAGTAGGGCTCGAAGGGCTCGACTTCGGTGAGCTTGGCCACGAGGTCGCGGGTGGACATGGACATGGAGCGGCCGCGGGAGTGGTGGTCGCCGGTGACGAGGTGGTGGTTGCCAATAACGTAACTTGCTTCGAGGGCCAGTGACGACTCGTCCGGGGGATGGATGGTAAAGTCCGATAGCGGGCTGAGGGAGAAGGTGCCGACATACTGGCTGATGATGTGAGCCGGGTCGGTGCCGGACATGGAGCATGGTCTCAGATGGTGAGCGGGTGTTGCCACAAGGAAAGAAATGCTGTTGTTGTGTTGCGCTTCGTGGTCCTCTTGGTTGACCATTGACGTTTCAGCAGCAACGATACTCAGTTCCATACCCTGAGGCTGCGGCGACAACAAGGACGGTTGATCATGACCATGAAATCGGAGGCTGTTCTTATTAGCATTGCTGGACTCTTCATCATGCTCGTCAATCCTCGAAACAGGTCTTGCCATGTACGTCTGGCCTTTGACAGACAAGTGTCGCGGGGGACCTCGTGAACGGCTGCGCGACCTAGACGCAGAACCAGACGCGACTTCGTTCCTGAGCTTGGAGGCGGAAATAGAAACGGCCCTGCGGCCTCGGGGTTGCGGTTGCTGAGGTTGCTGCTGTTGCTGCTGTTTGGTGTAACCTCTCGGCGGCAGAGGTGGCAGGCTACGCTTGCGCTGCTGCTTATTATTGCCCTCCCCACCAGTTAGTCCTAGCGCGCTCGGAGCGTCGGCATCGGAGTCAACGTCGTCTGCTACGTCCTGGATGTCCTGGATGATAGACGCAATAGGAGATGAGAAACTGATCGTGAGTTGTCTGCGCCGGGCTGCTTGTGGAGTATTGCTTACTCGGTCCTCGTAAATCCCAATTTCATGTTCGACATCGACACCTGTGCTTGTACCTGTGCCCGTGTTTTTTTGTGACTGCAACGAGGGCTTTGCGTCGCGCTGTTCGTCAGTGCTGGTTGGCTTGTTTTTCTTGCCAGGGTTCGACGTGTCAGAGTCCCTGCGACTCCCGGTTGGCTGCCACTGCGGTTCCGAGTTAAGGAAATCGTCATCGCCAAAAGGTGCCGCAACGTCGGATGGTTGGTCCAAGTCTAGATCACCCTGCTCCTGCTCCTGCTCCTGCTCATGTTCCTGCTCATGTTCCTGCCCCCGTTGGTTGGTCGTAAGCCGCAACTTTTCCAATTCCTCCGTAATGTCCACGGTGAGATCGGGAATGTCAGCGAACGGGTCATCTTCGCTCACCTCCGAGGCAATGAAACTGTTTTGTCTACTGCCCATAAACCCGTTAGATGGCCGCTTCCTGACCCAGACATTTCGTTCCCTGTCCAGCACCATGTTGCCGACTCGATCTGGGATAAGATGCAGTACACTTTCTGGCGCAATGGTCTTTCTGGTATCGGAGCCCTTGGACGAGGTGGTATGAGATGACCGTCCCGTGTAGTTATCAGACTCTGACTGGGTATGCCTTCCATCCTCAACATTCTCATGCGACAGCTTAGTCTTAAGCGCTGGGTTCCAGGAGATGCGAATGTTTGGCGGGTCGCTGATAACACCGTCTTCCCTAAAGTCGGGCAACACAGGTCCGCCCTTCTTGCCTGCATGATGCTTTTCATCCTGACGTACAGTACCAAAGCCTTGCCGGTACAGCGCAGCCGAGCGCAGAGACGAGCCCATGATGTCACCCATATCGCTTGCTTCCTCATACTGCTTGAGACGCTCTGCAAGGACGGGATCTTCCTGCTTGGTTGACCTGCGCGTCAAAGGCGGGCGTCCCTCGCGGCTGGGCGGACGCAGGAACGATTCCTGGGTGGACTCCTCATAGGAGCTCTCCCCATCTGCATCATGGCGAGAATCATACTCATCCGACTCCTCAACACTAGTTAGACCGCTGGCGGCGTTCTTGCGGATCATGGCCATGATCTTGTTGGCTTCGATGAGGAAATCCTCGGTTTTGATGGAAGGTTTGCGGTCGGTGTTCATTGCCGATCCTGGTGCGCCATGTTTCTTGGGCGTCCGACCCTTAGAAGACGCCTTGGATGACGGCCTAGTAGGACGACTGGATGACTTTGTAATGAGCTCCGTCAGGGGCGGCCTTCCCTTCTTACCCTCCTTCTGAAGAGACGATCTCTGGAGAGGAGTCGGCGTGCTTGGTCTTGGCACATCTTTCCCCGAGGGCGTACCAGGCTCAACCGGTTCGCGACGTTTTTCAGCATGCACTTCCTTGCGCCGCTTATCAATAGTAGCCTGTATCTGTTGGTATGACAGCTTCATGGACTGCGTTTCCGGAGAAGGAGAAAGATCTTCCAGTCCAAACTCGATGTCCGACTCATGCAGAGTCCTACGTCGTTTAGGGGTCGGATCCTTTGAAGGAGATGTGCGCGGCCGCTTAAACTCGGGGGCTGGGTCTGTTCGTCGCTTGCTGGGGGTGGCAAACGTAGCGGGAATATGGGTGAAAGCATGGCGCTTCTTATGCGCCGAGCTAGACCCCGTCTTGGAATGGCGTTTCGATGAACCTGAGTCAACGGGCTTTTGGCGCTTCCTACGCACCGAAGAGTTGCTTGCATCAGCGTCGGCGTCGGCGTCGGCGTCGGCTTCAGAGTGCGAGGACGGACGGCTGAAGTCAAAGACAGGGATCGGGGGTCCTGGCAGAGAATCGTCATTTGGGCCCTGGTTTTCCTTGTCACCCTCAACACCGGATGCGCCAACCGACTGGTACGAGAATTCGTCCTGAAACTCGTATCCGTCCAAAACCCCAGCTCCGAAGTGGTTCACCGCAACCGACGCCTTGCGTTGACCGGTCTCCTGTCCTCGACGCGTGTGGGTCTTGGGTGGTGATAGATAGCCTCCAGAGTCCATGTAGGAAATGTTTACTGGAGACTCATCTCCAGTCTGCTGTCCAGAAGAAGCCTGCTCGCCCGGGGTGTCGTTGTGGTATTGACTTAGCCGTCTTTGCAGAATCTCGCTGGTGAACGTGTCGTAGGGCTGGAAGAGCTTCAAAGGGCTGCCGGCTCCTTGCTGTGAAGATGGCACGCGCTTCGTAGCCGCACTGAGATTGGGGATTCGCGGAAATGCAGGTCTGCTGCGAGGCGAGATTTCGTCGGAGATGTTGCCAGATACTTGTGCAGGGACGTGCTCGTAGTCATCCCAGTGCTCGACCCTAACAGAGGGAAAGCGCTTGGGGGTGCTAGCTTGGAGAGACTCCTCTGGATTGAGCTCCGAGATATCGTTCAAGGCTGAGCTCAACATGTGGTTCTGGAACGATCCGTCGGCAGACCGACCACCTCTTCTGACGTTGATGTAGCTTCCCAGCTTTTCATAGTCCTTGGAAGTGTTGTTGGTGTCGCCTGCCTTGTTGTCACTCCTTGACGAACCACCAGTCGCAGCAGCGTCAGCCTCGCTCTTTCCAGACTCGCTCTTCCCAGAGACACTAGCTCCGGAATCGCTCCTGCCGGTACGGGCCATGCGCAACTGATTCTTTCTAAGAGTCTCGAGGCGGTATCGGAGCTCGTCCGGGGATATTTCTGGCGCGAAACTCGAGTTGCCGTCGCCCGCGTCGTGCATGGTGAGCAGTATCGGACTGAAATCCTCATGGCGCAAGACGCTCTGGCCGCTTGCCTGACGCGACCCAGCGCTGAGGTTTCCGAGATGGGAAGAAGCGGAGGTGGATGGTGTTCGCGACCGGACCTTGGGGTAGGTCTGTTGCTGGGTAGTAGAAGCGCGGAAACTGGACTCGGATCCTTGACTGGGGGCACTGGAATCGGTAGCGCGTCTGTACCGTATTTCTGGTATTTTGCGCCGTTGTTGTTCTTGTTGCCCCTCTTCGACTTCCTCCTCTGGCTCCTTAGGAATTGGGGGAAGCGATTGGAGAGACTCTTCCACATGTATCTCGACGGTTGAAGGGTCCCGTTCTCTGCCTAGAAATGGCGGGCTCGATGGTAGTGTAATCTCGACATGGGACTCGGCTTGCGACTCGTACTGGGATTCGAAACCTCGGCCGTTTCGCGCATTCGAATTCGGATTGGTGTCGGCCATGGTCGTAGCAGCAGGGGGAGGTGGTGGCTTGAAGATGGATTCGAGGATTGCGCCGGCCGAAGTAAACAGGTCGGGTGCTTCGCCATAGTCAAGCTCGCGATAGACCAAACGTCTTTTCCACTCTGGAGTATCCTGTTTCCTCCCAGGCGAATCATAACCATTCATGTTGTGGATGACGGAGCCGCCAGACTGAACGGATTCGGCTATGGAGGCGGTGCGACTGCGGGCGTCAATGGCTCGTTGGCGGTCGCGAACTCTATCCCCGAGGGACTTGGTCGAGCCACGGCGCGATGCAGCGTTGGAAGCGGTGTTGCTGTTGACGCGATCATCGTGTAGGATGCTGTTGTTGGCACTCGTTCGATTCGAATTCGGTCTAGGGATTCGACTCGGAGGGGTCTTGGGGGGTTTCCTGCTTTGGGAGGTAGCGGTGCCGGGTCTCGATATTGATTGCGACTGCGACTGTGACCGCTGATGGCTATCCAACTTGTTTGCAAACTGTGACGCGTTGGAGGCTAGAGAACCAGGCTGGGAGGGCCAGTCCTCCGAGAGGGAGTCGAGCCAAGCATGCCCCATCCTGGGCGATTTTCGGATGCCAGTTTGTGACCAAATCCTGGAAATGGAAACGGACACGAGAGTACAAGACGAGTTGGGAAGTTGGGAGCGCAATCGGCGGAGAGTGGTGTGTGTGGGCGCAATCGCAATCACACCTGTGAGCGTAAAATGTGGACTGTGACAACGCTGCTGTGAGCCTGTGACAAGCTGGCAATCCGCTGGAGACTGGATGGAAACGCGGCGGCGGAAAGGGTGGATTCCAGAGGCAAGAGAAGCCGGGATGATGCCTTGACCCAGAGAAATTCTAAAGATGGCGGGGTACGTATCGATCTCTTTTCAAGTTGTCGATTTGGAAAATATGGTCTTTGCTGTTTGGTTGGGTTTTGTTAAGGTACAGCAGCCGTGGTGCTCCGTTTGCAGAAAAGGTTCAATGGTTGACGTGGATGGAGATTGGGCGACGAGAGCGGGGCGCGGCAAAAGGTTATGTTATTACAATACGCCTGTTGATGATTGTCGTGGTGGTTTAGATTCCTTAGCTCTTTTTCAAAAAAAGATATGCAAGGGTAAGACACGACCAGTGGAAAAGGCCCGGTTTGTATGGCTGACAGTCGATGGTTGATATGCTGATGTTGACGTTGGCTATGGAAGTGTTGTTGAAAGTCGAAAAGGTACTTGTCTCTGGTAACAACGGGAAGTCTGAAAGAAAGAGGCGCCTTCTATTGGACGGCCCATCAACACGACCTCCCTCTCTACCACTCACGACCCAAGAACACGGCACAGCACACAGCTATAAGGAAGGAACATAATTAAAGTGGCTGAACCCATTTGCTTGGATGATGACTTGCAAGGGAAGGCTGGTTGACGTTACTCTGTTCCTGTTCCTGGATGGGATCTTGGATCAAAAGAGAGAAAGAGTTCTTGTTCCTTGTTCCCGTCTCATCGCATCTCTTTCCTCAAATCAGGGCATCTACCAGGCTTTAACAACATGCGATGAACTGCAGTTACCGTATGCTGTGCTCTGCATATTTTCTTGTTTCTTACCAACGATACAATCCAATGACAATGATCGCCCTTCTTCAGTGTCTTTGCGTTGTACTTTCTCCAATTCAAGAGAGCCAGGGACTGGGTTTGGGGTACCTGTTTGGTATCTTATCAGTGCTCCCCGGCCACTCCCTTGTGTTTCTTCAGTGAGACGTTCCAGGTTGACAAGGCCAAAGCCATGATTGGATCTTGGCAACCATGATTCGCTGTTTCACTTTCATCAAGCACGGGCCATCAGAGAGAGAGCAAATGATCTTCGAAACTGCAGGGCGGTCCGCGAATGCCCCGCTCTCCAATCTCCACTACAGTTAAAGAGCTTGCAGCTTCATCTTCAAGTAATGTCACATGACTTGGCGAACCCTCTTTAATTGGTTTTGCGCGAACACCACACGAGGTAAAGAAAAAGGAAAGTTGACGCGATCCGCTAACATAACCCTGACGCTGCTTGCAAGTCGCCAAGGTACCGTAACCCGAATCTGATCTCTGCTTCAATCCAATTGCACCATCCAGACCAAAGAAAAAGCAACGAATACGGACGACAGCAAACTGCTTCAACCACGTCTTTTCTTTTTTGTAACCCAATCAATCTGTTTGTACCAAGCTGCTATCGACACCCTCCAAGAGCCAGACTGTCCTCGACATCTCGACCGGCGATGCGCTCACTCTGCGCTCAGGACGACGAACCGGAATGAATGCCATCGGCGCTTGTTAGCGACTGTTGGATGACTGCCGTACCTCGATCGATGTAACAATAACAACCTGTCGACTAACAGTAACCAACGAGCCGTTTGAACTTTGACAACATGAAGCGCCGTTCGCACCTTGTCCACGGCTGGCTTACCGAAGCCTTTCCCGACGAGCCTGTCTACTCCGAAGCCCTCCACACGTCCGAAGACGTCTTATACTCCGGTTCCGAAGATGAAGCCTACAATTCCCCGACCGAGCGACGAGAGCGATACGAGGACAAGGGCCAGCGCTTTCTCCAGGGAAAGCCACTCATGCTGCTATCTGCGTCACTGAGAGGTCCCTTTACCAAGGAGAGCGGCTGGTCAAACCCATGGCGATCAAATACTAGTAGAAAAAGTCAGGCTGTTCAGTCTACTCCAGCTTGCGTCCAAGAGGAATCGGTCATCATAGCAGCGACACCAACGATTTTAGAATCATACGTCCACGATGCAGCCAGTCCGAGGCCCAATACTCCCGCTACATCCCACCGATATCTAGACGACGAAATCCTGCACGAGATCAAGACATGGCAAGACACGGTCGCAAATCAATCAAGACTGGAGGACCCGTTTGATGAGAACACCTACGAGCCGAGCTCACCCGATACTTTGAAAAGCCTACAAGTCGAGATTACACCTAGAACGCATGGGTCCCGGTCCATCATCGTGTCTTCGTCTATCGTCGCAGACGAGATTGTTGAGGATGATCCACTGGAGCATAGCCACGAGGACAATGTTGAGCAGCATCAAGAGGTCAACCTAGAATACGACGCAGAGGAGGAAGCAGGGTTCATCAGCGTCGACGAAGAGGACGATTCATCCCTCACCGATCTGGATGAAGAGCAAATTGAAGAGCTAAGCGAGGAGCAGGAAGTGGAGGATGACGAAGAGGGTGATGGCGAGGATGATAACACTGGAGAGGACTTGGGAGACAAAAACCAAGAACAAAGCAACGAGAACCAACAGGCATCAGAAATCCTCCCTGCTCAGGCCACATCAGACTACGACAGCCCTACAAAACGCCCGGTAACAGCACAACCTCTTCTCCAGTCCCATGGCAAACTAGACCTTCGACCTAGGCAAGAATTGGGGTTTATTCCTGTCGATACCATCGACTTGTCACCCGCTGCCGTCAAGATATATGAACAATCGCTCCGGGGAAGTACCTGTTACAGCCCCTCTTGGCGGGCGCAAGAGAAGAGGAAACAGGGCAATCTTCTACCGGGACTTGTTGGTGCGACTCTACCGGGCGACAATGGCCCCCAGAGCCCCTCAAGTCGGTTAGGCCGCAGCTTGCATGCGCCGACCTCTGACTCTACCTCGCATTACCAAAGAAGGGCAAATGAAAATGGATCGGTCACCCTCGAGCATCAAACAATCGAACCCGAGCACATGTTGGTAGACAATCAGCCGTCCGAGCCTGATGAGACAAAGAAATCCACCAACGAGCCGTCTGATGTGCCAGAACATCACCAACAGATCACCGTGGCACAGCCAGAAATCCCTCAGCCCGTTACTTCCGCGACCGACCTCCCTCAACCAAATGCTGCTGTCACCCACACTGCTCCTGAGATGACCGAAGGAGAACAAAAGAGTCATACTACCGACCCAACATCGCCCTCGTCATCCGAGATATCGAGTCCTGCTACGTCTTTCGAGGAAGAAGAGGAGGAGCCGATCGAAGAGCCCGTTGAAAACGTGAGGAAACTTCTCTGGCCCAAATCCCAACGACAAGCGAGTACCCAAGAATCAACGTCCGATATGGCTCTTGGTATAGCGTCAGCAACGGCGGGGCGTTCGCAAAACGGATCTGTCTCCGAATCAGTAGAAGATCATGGAGGACAAGGAAGTCTAGAATACTTCACAATCAATCAGCACCCCGAAAATGACAGAGAGCCAACAAAGGTCGCGCACAATGTTCTTAATTCGCAATCACCCAGTCGCTTATTACAATCACAACCACATTCGGTACCGGAGGCTACAGTATCCGAAGAGAGCATCTACGATGACACGATCAATCAAGTGCGGCTCGAATGGCCAACTGAGGCTAGCAGCCTCCCTCGCCCATCTCAAGTCCAGACCCAGAACTCATTACCCCTGGCGAGCATAGAAGAACCCTCGATAACGGAACGTGACACACCAGCGCAGCACAATACACCTGAACAATCAAAGAGAAGTGTCAACGTCATGGACCTTCGGCATATAACAAATCCGACTTCCCGCAACGCAACACCCCTTCGTCCATCTCCTGGTTTACAGAAACCCTTTACGAAACCCCTAAAGATACCGGTCCTCGTACAACCACGCTCATCCACTACTCCTGAGGCGCCAGTGAACCCGGAGCCAAACCGGACACAACTCTCAGTCATCGCCAGCCAAGCCCTCGCTCAAGCCTTCCAACCAGTCATCCAACAAAGCCCTTGGGCAAAGGGCGACTCGCAAATAACGGCCCTCGCTGCTCCAGCACCGGAACCTCGATTCTTCAACCCTGTCTCATCACCACTATCCTCTCCCGCCTCCAGCTCTTGCTTCGTGGACATGGAGGATTCCGTCCTACCAGTATTGTCAAATCCTCCTGTTCCTGGTAACAACGCTCAGACAGAGGTGGCAGAGATACCCATGGCCCAAGTCCAAACACCTCAACTTCAACCTCCCCATCCGCCTTCCACCCCAGAAACCAAGCGATCGAGTCTCCCTACTCCAGAGTTCACGATGTCTATCAAGTCCTTCAAACACTTTATGACACCATCGCCAAAGAGGCCGGCAAAACGTCCGCGGTTGTCACTAGGAGACGGTCGTTTACCAGACACTCAAGCTTTGGAGGAAGCGGTGGTTACGAACCCGTGGGATTCCAGTCGTGTTGAGGCCACCATGCCCGAAACTGCAATGCCGTCAGCTCCTAGCAGGAAGAACAAACGTGTATCGTGGGCTCCGCTGCCGGGAGAAGCTGAATACGTGGACCCTGAGATACCAATGGACATGGATGTGGATATGGAGGATCCTGTCCAACTCTCCTCGGTTAACAGGATGAAGAATTACCCACAGCGGAGATCTATCCTCTCTACGTCAGCGTCAATATCCAACTACAGAGGCATACCAGGACGAGCAGCATCCCCGCCACCGAGCATATATGTGCCAAGTATCGACTCGTTACCAAAGGAAAGCCAGAAGTTCGGGAAGCACTTTGCTGCTGTTTCTGGTCGCAGACGACTTGCGCCTAGGCCTGTGACTGCTACACCTGCTGCTGCTGCCGGGTATAGGGATGATGGGAGGGAGAGCCCAATGCTTCGAGATGTTAGTGGCAATGCTCGAAGCACGGGGACCTCCCGACTAGCTAAACGTCTCCTACCAAGCGAATCGCAGCAAACGTGTGGTAGCCCGGCTGTGGATGGTATGGCCAACGCTTTTGTTCAGGCCGATCGGCAGGTTGAGAATGTCAACTTCAACGGTCGGCAGCAGGGAGTGCAGGATGGAACCTTCTCAGCAGCTCCTTTGACTAGCAACAGGGGAATTTGGCAAGATTCGACGACAGACCGGACAGGCCCCCCAGTACCAGAACAACAGCAGAAAACCGATGACGGTTTCCGCCTCCCCAAGCTCCCGGGCTTTGACTCCCAACCTCCTATCGAAGAAACGGACGAAGTTAGTGAGGTCATGGATAACCTGGATGACTTTATTGATAGTTGGGATATCGATGATGAGCTGGCGCAGGCGAGGGGTGAGAAGGGCAAGAAGAGGGCACAATCCTCGACACTTGGTCAGGGGCTCAGTTCTGGACTTGGAAGTGGGCGGAATCTTTGGGACTCGCCCAGTTCTGGGACACACAGTACGCTAAAGCGGAAACGCACTGGTGATGACGAGGAAGAGGGGAATGGGATGGTAGAGAGCCAGGAAGGCAGAGGGGGTCGAGGTGAAGGAGGCGGGGTATATGACCCAGGCGTTTGGGACCGGATTGTTTAGTCGCCAATCCGCTGGGAATAGCATAAAGAGACAACCAGCATGGCGGACGGAATCATTGTGTGGTGTTCAAGGGACAACCTTCTCATAATGATGGTTATCAAGCGTTGGCTTCCACTTTGCATGGGATACGGTACGGTACGGAACATGGGGCATTTTTGGTTAGGCTGGATAGAGCATGGAAGGGAAATGCCTTACAGGAAAAGACTATAGTATATATGCTAATCGACTATTCAAAACTCGCTCGTACCTCTCTCCGTTATAATCGTTTCTCATCGTAACTGGTTGTTGATGTTGTCGTCGTCGTCAGTCTCAGGGGTAGGGGAAGGCCCGCTGCTTACATAACCAACTTTAAACACATCTCAAAAGGTACGTACTACTTGTAGTCCCCTTTGACCCGCTGTTAGTGCACTGATCCGTTCGGGTGGTCCGGGTGCTGTGCCTCTGCACTTGACCCTATCAGCTGGCCTAAATGACGGAATCAGCTCTGGTTAGGAACAACTGAAAGCGACCCAGAGCACTTTCAACTTGCGAGAATCGAGATAGTGCATCCGTTTATCGCTGTCGAGATACCTCCTGTCAATCTGGACTTTACAACTCGACTACCTAGCTGTACGTAGATTTCTCTTTTCCTGAAACCTCTTGTACCCGGTCGCGCGAGACATCGGACCGTCCTTCGCTACCTCAATAACTCCTTCTTCGGTGCTCCTCGGATAGTTAGGCAGAATTCGCATCTTTCCATCATCCCAGACTTCGCTCAGCCTCCCGTCTCGATACTTCTCTACGCACGCAACAAACAGACACCGATCGTCGGACTCGAAATACCCTGACGGTTGGAACCCTGACCCGCTGACCCTGCGTGCGTTAGGTTGGACCTTGCCAACTGTCTAGCTTCTAGCTTCTCTAGCTTCTTTAACCCGCCGAGCGGCCGATCGAACCGACCTACCCTACCTACCCTACCTACCCCGGGCCGGACCCCTCTACGTATAACAACTCCCTCGACGACTTTGGAACAAAAACCATCGCGGATTATATACACGCCGCCGCTGTTCGCCGCGTCGTCGACCTCATCACGTACGCTCTGTACCTAGAGGCATCTACACCGACACCGACATCCAACACCACCTTCCACCCTCCCCCGAAGCACACACATACACAATGCGCCCCCCAACAACCCCCCTAGCCGGCGCCGCCGCCGCCACCGTCCTCCTTCTCGCGGGGCTCCCCTCGACAATCACAGCCGCCGCCCCCCCACCGGCCGAAGTAATGCGCTGCAAGGAGATCGTCGTGGACGGACACAAGTACAACTTTGGCGAGCTCGGCGGGCCACACACGGTGGTGACGAACGAGTACGACCCGCCGGCTTACTACAACTATACGTATACGTTGGATATCTGTGCGCCGCTGAAGAGGAAGGGGGATGTTAAGAAGGAGGAGCAGTGTGGGGGTGATGCTAGAGGTTCGTCTACCCTTGATAGTAGCAGAGTTATGGACTGGTGACGTGGGTTAAGCTGGGGAAGATCTAAGCAAGCCGGGATCTCCCCAAGCTAGAACTCACGATGCCAGGAACAACAACTCCAAAAGCAACGATACTAACAGAACCCCAAAACAAAAACAGTCTGCAGACTCAAACACCACTACTCCCCCTCCGACAAGAAATCCACCTTCGAAACAGCCACCACCCTCGCCGGCGGCTCATCCTTCCACTACGAAGCCACCAAGCTCGATTCCTCTTCCGACCACAACAAGGACGGCGGCATCAAGCTGACTTTTACGGGGTACAAGCACCAATCGCGACACCAAAAGGTCGTCATCAATTTCGTCTGCAACAAGACTTTGACGGGTACGGAAGGCGAAATAATCGACAGCGAGGATCAGTATGAGAAGCCCAAGCTTTTTACAAGGGATGGTGACGACAAAAAAGAGGAAGAGGGCGACGATGGATACCCCGAGACGCAAAAGACGATTAATAACGGGACAACGCCGACGGCGCTGGTGTGGAATGGGTATAAGCGTGTTGGTGAGGATGTGGATCAGCTCGAGTTGACGTGGTATACCAAGTTTGCTTGTTTGGATGCCTCCGGTGGCGGCGACAAGCCCAAAGACGGCGACAAGCCTAGTGATGGGGATAAGGACAAGCCAAAGGATGGAGACAAGGATAAGCCGAAGGATGGTGATGATAAAGACGGCGGCAACAAGGGCGGAAACGGTGAGGAGGATATCAATAAGAGTTGGGGGTTCTTTACTTGGCTTGTGGTTCTGTAAGTTCTTACCCGTCCCCTTTTCCTCTTCCCTTTCTTTTTCCCTTCCCTTTTCTTTACCTTCCCTTTGTTGGTACCCCTTATTTTGTCCGACGCAAAACTAACACCAACACCCCAAAAGCCTCTTCCTAGCCATAGCCGCCTACCTCATCTTCGGCTCCTGGCTCAACTACAACCGGTACGGCGCGCGTGGTTGGGACCTCCTGCCACATGGCGACACCATCAGGGACATCCCCTATTTGCTCAAGGACTGGACGAGACGGGTGTTGAATACCGTACAGAGCAGTGGGAGTCGGGGAGGGTATTCGGCTGTTTAGGAGGGGCCTGAAGAGGGGAGAGGTGGAGGTGGGTTGGAGGTGGAAAGTTGGAGGGGGGACTGGGGTGGTGATCAGGAGGAGGAAGGAGAGGAAGGTCATGGGTATGAGAGGTCTTGGTAGCGGTCGGGGGCTAGGAGAGGATGGAGTGAGGAGTAGGATATGGGTTAGAGAAGGGAGGAGGACCAGGTACGCAACAGAACTGCTGCTACTGCTGTAGGCTGTCAGGGTGCACGATGCAGGGCACGAAGGGATTGCAGTTAGAAGACTTTCTCATACAAGTAGGGATACATTTTCAGGATTGGCGTTTGGGAATGATGGATATCAGTCAGGTCTATGGGCTCGTCTTCTTAAGCAGTGATTGTTTTCTGGTCCGGGGGAGTAATGCCAAGCTGTTAGGTGATACAGGTGGAGGAGACGGTACGCTTTGGGTTTCTTTCGTTCTGTATGATTATCATGGGCGTTTCCATGAGCCTCCAATTTACTGAATTTCTTCAAGCATTTGTTTACCTTTGATGATCCCCTTTTTGAAATGGTAAGGGCCAAGGACAGCATCCCGGAAAGTGGAGGCTAGGTTCGGAACACTTGCCGTGGGGTTCGCCGTGGCGTCGCCACCGGATGAAGTACTCGTCAGGTCTTCAAAACCGACCGTCTGACTAGCGGGCGAGCCACTAGTCAGGGACATTGATTCGTACATGGACATTGATTCGTACCGGATTCTTGTACCGAGACAGTATATGGTGTGCATGCATTAAATATTGAGCTAGGAGGGGTAAAAGTGTATCTAAGCCATGCGCGCATGCGGGTAAGCCCAATAACCGGCTTAGCGTGGGAGACTTTGGCGCTAAGGGTTTTTGCTAGCCAGTCAAAGTCGCTCCCGCGGTACGAATCAATGTCCATGTACGAATCAATGTCCCTGACTAGGTGGTTTCCTCCTAGTCAGACGGTCGGTTTTGAAGACCTGACCAGTACCCCCCAGTGCCGAAGGTCAGCCGGACCACGTATCACATGTCAGACTTGACTCGTCTCAGGTGCTCGAGACAACGAGATCGAGTTCTTTGTAGACTGTATCTGCCAAGTCGGGACGATCTGCCTGCCGGGTAAGTTTAGTAATCCGTGCTAATCGCGTAGTCCCTACATGCAAAACAAGCCGAGGTACACGGCTGTGTACATCCACCACTGATACGACGGACGACTGATCGACCTACTGATGCGTCGTCTCACATAAAGACAGTTTCTCTCGAGACATCAACACGGTCTTCAACTTCAGGACTCGTCTCATCTTGACGAGCCTCACTCAGACACAACTGTCTTCAACAAATTCATCAGCTTCAAGCAACAACCGCCCGGCCCGGCCAAACAAACAAATACCTGCCGCCAAGGATCTCCCATCCGAACCTTAAAACGAACTACACCTCGTCCACCACCACCGACAACAACACCATCAACCAACCCGCCAGCCAACCAACCGTCAAAATGGCCACCATCTCTCAAAAAACCCTCTTCACCCTCCCCATCGCCCCCTCCGCCTCCCAACCCGGCGGCACCCTCACCTGCTCCACCCCCCTCCTCCCCTCCCCGGACTCCTCCTCGCCACAATCCAACATCTACATCCTCACCATCTCCTCGCCCCCCGACAACCGCCTAACAGACACCTGCTGCACCACCCTCCTTCTCGCTCTCGACATCCTCGAATTCTCTCCCCAGAAGTACCCGCCAGGCGTAGTCATCACGACCTCCTCCCTGCCCAAGTTTTTCAGCAACGGGTTGGACCTCGAAAACGCCCTTTCCGACCCGGATTTCCTCCCCCACAAACTGTACGCTCTGTTCCGTCGGTACCTGACCTATCCGATGCCGACGGTCGCACTACTAAACGGCCACGCGTTTGCTGGCGGGTTAATGCTAGCCATGCACATGGATTACCGGCTTATGAACCCGAGCAGGGGCTTCGCGTGCGTGAACGAGTTGGACTTTGGGGTTCCGTTGAAGCCGGCTATGTCTGCTATTTTCCGGCTGAAGTGCGTCCCGCAGACGTATAGGAAACTAGTGCTGGAGGCGCACAGGTTTGCAGGGCCGGAGGCGAAGGAGGCGGGGATCGTGGATGAGCTCACAGACAAAAACGGGTTGGAGGACGCGATGCGGTTTATTGGAGAGAGGAGGTTGCAGGACAAGTGCAAGAGTGGGATTTATGGGTTGTTGAAGGGGGAGATGTATAGGGAGACGGTCGAACAATATTTGAGCGTGGAGGGACATGGGAGGGAGGAGCAGAGGGTGAAGAAACAAGTGGAGGGGGAGGAGAGGAGGAGGGCGGAGGGGGGGAAGAGGGTGAAGGAGATTTTGAGTAAGTTGTGAGTGTTTTTTTTTTTTTTTTTTTTTTTTTTGGGGAAGGGGGGGTAATCGTGTTGGACTGGATGGGTTGCTTTGGTTAGAGGGGGATGGATGGTTTCTTGACGGGTTCAGCGGCAAAAGACGGAACAGATACAGAACTGAACTGAACTGCGCTTGGGGGTAACGGCACCATAGATCTGCTTGGTTGTTTTTGTAAATGAAAACTGGTCAAGTACTTCGAGCCACGATTCAGTGATATCAAAGGGTAGATTTGTTGTTGGGCATTCATTAGTCTAGGATCGGTCCATCGGTCGATTGACAGCGGCCACGCAGCTCAACCAACGTAAGAAGAGGAAATGTTGTCGTTCGGAGGAAACACAGATGGAGTGTAGTGTAGAAATGCCATGATATAGGCTTAACGTCACTACTTTGACAATCATCATTATCAGAGGGGGGAGTTGTGATAGTTTTCTCATTGTTTTTGTTTTCGTCCCCGTCTATATAAGGTATACACTGAATACACATCGTTACAGCAGTCCATTTTAACCTCTCGATAACCTTCGGATGCCCATCAAGTTCAACGTACCGTTCATCCTACCAAACCCAGCCTAGATAGCTACACTACATAGGTTGTTTACTCATCCTGTTGTTATTTGAACAAGACACCAAAACAGTCCATACCTTCCCGACCCCTCAAACAAACCACCATAGCCAATAAAGAAATAAAATAATAGTGAAAATCAAAAAGCTTCATGATATAATATTTCTCTGATCTGGTTCTCTTCTGTTCTGCTCGGCTGCCCTTATCCATAAAAATAACCGGACGTAACGGACAGCCACCACGGATCTGACAACAACAACAGCAACAACAACAACAACAACAACAACAACAATCACAAAACCCAATTTCAAGACCCAACACCATACACCTTTCACAAAACCAAACAATCCCATAAACGATCACAAAACAACTTTCTCTCGTCACACTCTGTTCTGCTCCCTTCCGCCTCGACCTCCATTACTCATTCACACACTCGCGCACAACTCCCTCCTTCCTACAAGTAATCAAACACCCCCCCCTACTCCGAAACATACCCCTCATCTTCACCCCCATACTCATCCTCCATAATCTCCCTCTCAATCTCCTCATCCACCGCCCTCCACGTCCCCATCCCCAACTCCCTCCTCACATCCCTCTGGATCCTCAAAAAATACCTCCTCAAACTCCTCAGGCCTCTCAAAAACCCATTATCCGGTTCCTGCGGATACCTAGGCGGACACGGCTTGCCCTCGATTCCATTGGCAGCCAAGTCTTCAGCCGTAACGCAGTTGGCAAAGTCCGCCATCTTGAAGTCGATTTCGTGCTTGTCTTTTTTCTTTTTGCCGCCGCCGTTGAGGGTGTGGGTGCGGGGGTGATGTTGATGGGGGTGGTTAGATGCGGCGTCGTCGTTGTCAGTCGCAAAGTCGGTAGAGTAGTAATCTTCGACTGCCGTGTCGTACTCGGAGTGTGTGGTGGCAGTAGGCGTGGGAGGCGCAGGAGGGGGGAGCGGTTCGCCGTCGTAGAACATCAGTAGCGAAGCAGCGTAGAAGCGGTAGCCTTTCAATCTCCTGATAATAACCTCCAGCTCCGACAGCTTGTGGAGGACGGTGGGGATGTGGCGCAGGATGGAGGCGCGGTCGACGCCGTTGTAGAGGAATCGGGTCAAGGCGTCCTGGAACTCTTGTCCGGCTTTGAGGTCGCGGCCGTAGTACTTGTCTTTGAAGACGTAGGACTGGGTGGCGACGTCCCAGACTTGGAGACCGCAGACGCGCACGCCGAGCTCGCGGGAGGTGGTCTTTGCGCATTTGCCTTGTTGAGACTTCTGCTTCTTGGGGGAGGCTTCGACGCCGTATTGACGGGTGCCCATCTTGAGGTCCATGATGCAGGGACGCTTCATGCCGGCAGTGAGGTCTTCAAGCAGCAAGAAGTACTCGACGCGGGAGTCGGTTTGCGTCTGGGCTTCTTTGGGGTTGATGGGGCGAGGTATCTTGGCGATTTCCGTGTGCGGACTGGGAGGAGCCAGGTCATCGGCGATGGCAGACTCGGTGTTGACGCCGTTGACGCCGTTGGTGCCATTGTGCCTAGTGTCCAAAGGTCCAATGGACTCCTCTCCTGGTACATCCGGGACGTCAACAGGCTCGACCTCAAACACGGGCTCCTCGTCATCAGCCTTGTAGGCAGCCGAGTCAGCCTCCTCAAAGTACTGCAGCTCACCCCGCGCATCCTGGACATCCTTCGGCTTCCTCCTCAATCCTGTCCCCGAGTACCGACGCTTCTTCTTTGGCTGAGCGGGCGACGCATCCTTCAGAATCTCTGGCTCAGGAGCACTAGTCCCCGTCACGTCCTTGGGCCCGTCGTCTGCCACTCTTTCTTCACTAAAGCTGCGCGGTCCGGCAGCCAAGTTCTCCTCGCTTCGTACCAGGTCGCTGGGCTTGAGGCGCGACTCCTCACCGGCACTGCTGGCCCGCGGCTTGGCATCTTGAGCGACATCCAAGTTTGGATCAGACTCGGTATGGCGGAGAACTGGCTGCAGACTTCTCCGGGAGAAGGGCCTTTGATGACCCTTCTTGTGACGGTGAACAGCAATGGGCTGCTTGAGGAAGGCGTCATTGAACACCTCGTTGCGCAGTCGCTTATTTACCATGGTGGCTCCCCAGCTGTTAGCATGCCGGTCCTCCAGCCTTGGCCGCAACATGTGGCTGGGGTTCTCAGAGACATATTGTCCGTTGGGAGCCCTACCCCCTTGGACAGAGGCCGAGGCACTCCGAAAACGAGTGAAGGAGCTTGACGAGGCCAATGCTGGCTGGATCAGGCTCCGTGGGAGAATGTGTTGATTATCAACAAAGGTGACAGTAGGGATCTGACCCAGTGGTTGCTGCAGCGACTGGCTAATGATGCGCTGGTGCTCAGGCTGTGCCGGCTGGGCACCGTTTGTTGGCGCTGCTTCGTTCCCTTTAGCACCGGAGCTAGCTTCGTCTTGGCCCGCTGCAGGGGCTTCCAGCGCAGCAGTGGCCGCCTCGTCTTTCTTGTGCACCGACTTTCGTCGAGGCTTCTTCTGGAAGGTGACGTTCAAAACACCAATATATCTGCAACAACAACAACAACAACGTTAGTCATGGGATCATACGGAAGGATATACATCATACATGGGACAACATACCTCGGCAAAAAAGCCAACAAGTCGCGGTGATGTTGTTCAATCTTTTCATAGAATTCATTCTCTCGGTTGTTCAACTGTTTACAGACGGCCCGCCGAGAAAAGCGCCAGAGGGTGGTGTGCCCTCCGACTTGGTGTTTGTAAGGGATCAGTTCAATTGCATCTAGGGGCTGCTCTTTGGTCTCCCCTTGGTGGTCATGGACGGTCTCTTCGGGATGAAAGGGATGATGAGGATGATGATGCGCAATGGACTGGGACGGCTTTGTTTGGGGTGGAAAGACACCAGTTTCACTCTCGTCCGCAACGGCAGGTTCATTGACTTTGCCAGTGTCTATCTGAGAACCTACAAAAGGAACAGTAGTAGCAGCGCTGTCGGCAGGCTTGGCAAGCCGATGGGTCTTTTCAACGTCAGGACACTCGTCTGGACATTCGACTTCAGGCTCACCAGCTTTCACAAGCCACGGATGGAAATCTTCAGCTCGAGAATGTGTTCTTGACGGAAGCGCGGTTCGGGAAGAAGCCGCGCCAGGCACGTCGGAGTGCTCCTCAGCCTCCTCGGGGCCTTGATGCGGTAGGAACACGGCCGACGAAATCTTTTCCTCCCCAGACTCTTCGCCATCCTCTGTATGCGATCCACCGTCAATGCTAGCATCGGACTTGCGCCGCGGCTCTGGCTTGCGATCCAACGACGGAGACTTGTAGCCAGACTCTGTAGTAGCATCTTGGACTGCACTCGTATGCTCGCGACCCGGAGTAGCAGGAGGCTGCTGCTGCTGCTGCTTTACCTGGGCCGGCTCCTCAACCGGCTTGGGCAAGAAATAATCTTGAGCAATTTTATCGCCGGCCGGGGTTTCTGGAGTAAGCAAGGGGACAGAGTGAGCCTGGGCTGGTTCGTCAGTTTCGGGTAACTGTGTGTCCTCTGATGTAGATGCAGGCACAGTAGTAGTCCGTGACTTTCCTTCACCCTCTGTCTCGGTATCCTCAGCCGTCTCGGCGGTCGAAGGGAGCCTCTCTCGCTTGGTATCCTTCTTCTTGGACTTTTCGTCAGGCAGACCCTCCTTGAAGAAGCGCAAACTGTGGCTGGCCTTGCGGCTGCGGGCATTGGGCTCGACACCGGCCAGGACCTCGGTAATGGACTTTTCAACCATGCCGTCCTGGTCATCGGTCAGCTCTCCCACGCCAATGGACCATGCCTTTTCGGGAACCGTCTGTGCTCGTTGATCCTTGCGCAGCCTGGGAATAGCATTGTCACCGTTGTCAGCGGCTCCATCATTGTTGTTCAGAGCGGTAGGGGATTCCGAAATCTTGGTGGAGACGACAGGATGGCTACTATCAGCATCTGTGGAATCGGTCCGTTCTAGAGACATTCCTCGGCCCTTGTTCTTTGTAAGGTATTCGCGGTGTCCCTTGAGCATGGAGTTGACCTGACGCAGATCGAGCTCGATGACGCCACCCAACGGAGGGCCCGTCATGGTGGCGGTGGACGTGATGGTAGCAGTCATGGACGACATGGTGTGTGTCTTGTGAAAGTTGTTGGAGTTGCGAGGGGAGCCGGCTCTCGGGGTCAAGGCGTCGTCTTCTTCGTCTTGGAAGGAGGGCTGCTCTTCATAACGGTGGCCTTGTGGTCGACGGTCGTTATCGTGCTGCTGTCTGGTATGACTTTCAGACGGAACGGCGGACAGAGGATGAGACGAGACGACTTGAGGTTGAGGTTGAGACGGAGTGTTATCACCTGGTTGTTTTTGTAGGGGGTTGTTATTATTTGTGCCACGAGCTGTAGCAAAAGCCTGGGTCAGCAAGGAAGCGCCAGGACCGGAGGGGTGTCTCTGGAGATAGGCAGCAGGGCCGCGGTGGTATTTAATCTGGTCTGCAGCAGCTTGTGCGGCATGTGCAACGGTATGATCTGTGGTATCTGTGACCAGGGTGGTGGGAGTGGGGACGGCAGCAGCAGCGGGAGGAGCAGCATGTCCGGGCTGATGTTCGTCTGGTGGTGTTGGAGGACCCGGGGACACGGACGGCTCAGAGACGATGATGTGATGTTCCTGGCCTTCTGGGGGGTCGACCGGGGGGATGACGTGGAGTGGAGGGGACTCGGAACAGTAGGGAGATGCGGCGGACGGGAGTTGATGGGACTGGGCCGAGGAAGTGGTGGTGGAAGCATCTTGACCAGCAACCCGAGCAGGGCTCACCGAAGCAGCGGGAGCGGCATCATCGTTGGTCGAATGCGAGTTCGACATGGGGAGGACATCTGACGGCTGCGCAGATACAGGAATTGACGCGGACGGGAGTTGGGGTTGGCAGTCGATCTGTCGTCGGTAGTGGTGGTGGTGGTGGTGGTGGTGGTGATGGTGGTGGATGTTGTGGTGTGTAATCTGTGTGTTTTGGGGGATGTTTTGGTGGTAGCGGTAGGGAATCCGAGATCCCTCTAAACTGAACACTGCAGTGGACAGTGGGAAGAGGGCCGTGTGTGGAGACAGTGCGTATTACGGTAGGAAATGCCAATGCTGTCCAATGCCGCGCCCCGCTTTCAACTCTCGTCTTTCGCCCTTGGCTTCCATGGGCCGTTCGCTAATCGCTTGCTAACACTAACAGCCAGGTACGTACCTCGTTAACAATTCTATCAGTAACAGGAGTGTAATGCAACATGTCTTGCCCGCAGTGGCCAAAAAGTATAAGGTGCAGGTGATCCGTGCACTGATCATGGAATGGGATTTGTTGATAATTAAGAGCCAGCACTAGCAGCGGGTGGCGGTTACTCCAGTTGTCTCTATGACTGTCTTGTTACGTACAGTGCTGTCACTTGAACTCGAGATTCTGTTAGTGTTTCTCCTCGGTCCCATGGCGATCCAGATCAAAAGGTTACCGTAAAGGTCTAGTACCCAGGTACGTACCTTTTCACCTAACCCCGGGACTACATACAAGTATGCATCGATCATCCCTTCTCTGGTCCACGTTGACAAGTCAAAGTATCACGTTCCGTTGCTCTGATGGTTGACAGGCTCGTCCCGCTCCTGGAACCTCTCCCATTGGCTTCTCCCAAAGAATGGTCTTTTGATTTTCCATTCCTTCTTCGATATGATTCCTTATCTCGCATTTCGATGACGGCCCGCTATACGTCCATATGTCTGCCATAATGCTCCTTGCCGAGCGGGACTGATAGGAGCCCGACATCGCTTTTAGTCAATGTTATCGCGGGCGGCAATCATGTATCCCCGGCGCAAATCATCCGTCTTCACGACTCTTGTGCAACACACTACTGAGGTGACCGGTCAACGGCAGTCGTTGCCAAAGCGGGGCTCTCACTCGGCCTGCTTATTCTCAATTCTGTTATCATGTCGTACATACGGCACGGCATAATTCAGGAACAAATAACAACAGCAGACGAACCCAAATTGTCCCCATGGCCTCTCCGGTTCGTCCATCTGAAGTCCGAACTCGGCTCGGTACAGCGAAGTACATATCTGTTCGACACTCAGCTTCGGCTTCTCTATATCAACGCCAACCAATCAAAAGAAAACGTGCCCTGCTTTAAACTGACCGCTCCCTGAAACCGTTCCAGTTAATATCCCAGCCCCGGAGCCACTTTAACCACTAACCCTCCACTAACAGCCTCCTTTTTGGGCCCATTTGGTTCCATTTTACGGTGTCGATTATTCCGCTTACAGCCTTGGCATCTGGGCGGTGCAGACCAGGGCTCGCCACGCCATCTACTGCTCAGAACGGTATAGCTTCTTGAGTCCCGTAATCGTACAGTCTTTACCACACTTGGGTAGTATGTAAACACGCGTGTAGAGTTGAAGCTGAGTCAGCTCTTTGCACGTAAGAGAGGCGTTTGTACACGGCCGTTATATTGACTTAGTGAAATCGTAAAAGTCATAATATAAACATTGTTGATAATACTTAGTATTAGTCTCCCTAAACTATTAGCGAAGTCTAATTCCCATAGCAAAGTCCTTCGAGCTATCTTTTATATAGGAAATTACTTTGGTATATATAAATCGGTTCAATAAGCTCTATATTAAGTAACTACTATACGTGTAGCGGGTCTGCAAGAGTAAGGCACAGCGAACAGTCTTGTAAGGTTGAAATGCTATATTTGACAAAGAGGAAAAGGAAGATTGTACTAGAAGGGTACAATCAAAAGAAGGTTTTATATAGGTCGCTTAGAGCGCACGAGCCAGGCAGTCATACGGGTCTAGCCAACCAAAAGGCTCGCATCCTTATCGATAAAGTAAACTCCCTATCGATAATGTAAGATACGGCTTAGCATTAGCTAAATTTAACCCCTAGGCTCTAACCCTATAATATTACCCCCCTATACCCCCTTAAAAAAGGCAGTCTACCGTACAAAGTATCAAGTACAATTAATTATATAAAAATAATAAAATTTATTAACAACCGCTCCTAACTAAATACCTATTTAAATAGGGAAGAAATTAACAATACTAAAAAAAATATTTATATTAAGCCCCCAAATAAACGCTATACGACTACTTACCTACTACCCGGATCGGTAATAATGCGTACCCGCCGTTACCTTCATAGAGTTATACTTAAAGACTATGGGTACTAAGACTAAATTAGGGGATATTTTTAAACCTTACCTATTAAGGATCCTCTTTTGCTATTAAATATATCCATACCCAAAAAGCAATAAAAATTAAAATTATTACCCAATACTTCGTATTATTCTACTTCTCTTACTAATAGGAGCCTTACCCTTACTGCTATAAAGGTAATTCAATAGTCTTTATACCTACAAAATATAATGTTTACTACCCTCGTACAATTATGTTTTATAATAGACACTACTAATAATATAATTAGGCGGCGAAGGGTATCACATAGTAGTCTTACTACTTATCTAGCTAATAAATAATATACTTAATAAGCCGTAAAGGTCCCTCCTTTTAGATATATCGTACTCTTTTACCCCTAGTATTATTAGGGCTAGCCTTAATAAGGTACTATTTAATCTAAGAATTCCTCTTTTTAATTATTATTGTTGTAATTATTTAAGCCCCTATTAGGCTACAAAGAACTAATTTGATTTAATACAACTAGTATACTCCTAAACTAAAACTACTATTACTATTACCCTCTCTCCTCCTCTATTTCTTTATTTAAGTAGAGTTCAAAACTTTCCTAACAACGTTAATTCGGTATTTCGAGCGTCTTTAACCGGATATACGTAATGGAAACAAAAGCCAAAAAAAAAGGGTATTACTATCGAAGATAATATATAAAAAAGTAAACGATAAACCTATATCGTAAAAAGCGAATCTATTTATGTAGAGTTTAACTTGTACGCTCGGAATCTTAATAAAGAATTAGTACTATTATTGAAAGGGACGAGGGTTTGGGCAATAATTACAATTGAAATTAATCGCAAACGAGCGAACGAAATCGAATTAAAAAGCGTTGGCGCTTAAGGAGTCTAAGCAACGAAAGGATATCGTAAAGGATCGTAAGAGCTAGAGTAGTAAAAACTCTTCTAGTATACTAGCGAAAAAATACTAATGCGAAAATGTAAAGGAAGGGGTATTATTACTAAAGAAAATAAGAACGATAGGGAGGATAGTATTATTAAGGAAAATAAGAGTAATATAGAGAGGAGACTCTTTTAGCATATAGGCGAGGTATAAAATATTTAAAAAGAGGGTTAAATATAATATAGCGGGTCTATAAAAGTAAAGTATAGTAAGCAATTGTATAAAGTTGAAATACTATATTTAATAAAGAGGAAGATTGTATTAAAAGGGTACAATTAAAAGAAGGTTTTATACAAGTCGCTTAGAGCGCACGGGCTAGGCAATTATACGGGTCTAGCCAACTAGAAGGTTCGTATCCCTATTGATAAGGCAAGCTCCCTATCGATAATGTAGGATACGGCTTGGTATTAGCCAAGCTTAACCCCTAGGCTCTAGCCCTATAACAATACGTATTAGTAATAATAATTATAAAATAAATAAAGGTTAACTAATATATATATTAATTGTATTTTCAATACTACAATTACAATATTAACTCTAATAATACTAAACTTATTATATAAAATACCCTAATTACTAGCAATCGATTAGTATATATATTAGAAGGATTTATAGTAATATATAAATGCTATACTAAAAAGTGGTTCAAATACATTTAATACAAATAGAAATATTTGTATTGAATTTCATTTCTATAATTATAATACTAGCTTGCTCTCACCACTTCTAATTACACTAAATAATACTAAATTACTATAAAGACTGGATTTATCTATATATAAATCGTATATATCGTATAAATCTCTATATGCAATATGTAGTATATTGGCATTTCTAGTGCTATTTATAACTAGCTATATTTCTAGTGTCTTTTACGTATAACTAGCTATACTATTTACTAAAAGACTAGATTTATCTATATATTAATATATAAATCGTATAAATCGTCATTTAGAGTACTAATTAGTTAACTAACTTAATATCTATAACTATAATCTACGTCGTTAATATTATTGTAATAGTACTAAAGGTATAAGTAAAAAGCTTTAATTTACTAATAGTTCCTCCTAAAGTATATTTTCCCACTCCCTTATAGCGTTCTCGAAACGGCTACAACCCTCCCTCATCTTCTAAATATACTAGGTATTACCTATCTCTATATAATAAGAACTAATACTACACTACTAGCCAGCCTACCTTTAGAAGTTATAGAATCGCTATAATTACATTTCTATAATAGACTATACGTTTTATTTAGCAGCTAGAACAAAGGGTACTTCTAATATAATTAGTACTAACCATTCTTACTCCCTAATCTTATATAACTTGTAACCGTACAATTACTAAACCTCTAACTAAAATATTAACCGTTCTACTATCAGCGTTTGATAGCTAATAAAGAAATAGTAATACTAGAGATACTTACAAGGCAATTGCCAACGCCTATTAAACTTTTACTTATACTAAAGTATACCTTCCCTATCCTTAAAGATTCGCAACTATATATATTTTCCATTTATAACCAAATGGTAACCCGCCCTAATTTTAAATATAATAAGTTATTATATTAGTAACGGGAACCGGCCAAGACCTAGGTAAGTAACTACTTTACGTAATAATTTACTACGAAAATCGTTCTTTATCTTAATTATTTTAACAAAATACCGGCCGTCGATATCGAGAGTGTATTTAAAGATACTAAGAAGGGAGAATTACTATATTATCATAATATTATTATATTTCAACATAAAATAGTAACCTTTAAGAGGGTTAATTATTAATACCTACTAGTAAAAAAAGTTCATAAGTAAGCAAGTAATAACAACCCTATTAATAATAATATAAAAAAAGAAAGGGCGCCGATAACTCTTAAATTTTCTCTAATATTCTTTAGATCTCCTCCGATATTCTCTAAGTTTCTTCCAATATTCCCTAAGTTTGATTTTATTCCAAATTCTTCAGGGGACTAGGGGGGTTAAATAAAAGTACTAATAAAAGGAGATGGGATTTATACCTATAATAATAGAAGCGAATATTTACGAACGTAATTTACCTAATATTATTTCCTCGAAATCTAATTTATTTATAAATACTATCGTACAAAATCGAATACGTATAAACTATTAAGAGCAATCTAAATAAATTTATTACAAA